AGCCATTATAGACCATATACCTAATGGTTGGGTGATGTTCAATGGGGACATTTAATGACCCATGAACAATGGCTTGCTTTTTTTTTCTAAGAATAGATGGAGGATATAATCACTAATTGTAAAAAAAAAATGATTGTTTTCAAACAGGGTTTATGAGATCATGCAGCGGCTGACGGGGGTTGATGTGGACATACAAAACAGCTTTGGATGCCCCAGCCAGGATGGGTTTTCCTCTCGCGTGTATAACAACCTCAGACGATGCTTTTTGGTGGGTTTGCAACAATGCATACAGAAATGAATTCTTAGTTTCACGATTTTTATGCATTTTTTTCTTGAGGGGTCAGATGTAGCTGAACCGCCTGTTGGTAGCGAGCTAAGGCATTTCCTGGTAACGATCCGCAGTTCCAATGCTCAAGGCCTGCTGAACTGGGAGATGTCAAAGATGGTGCCCCAAGTCTAGGAAAGTTCCTCCAAAAACGGATCATAGTTGTCTGTTATTAAACAGAAGTTCCGGGCCGTGAGAATTTTTTAGAATTGCAACTCTGCCATGTATTGTTGCCTTGCATGCGTGATGATGGGGTTTGGATGTTTGTCCTGATGAGGGTCAATTGGTAGTTGTCGCGAGGGGTTGCTCATGCAAGATGGACACGTATATAGTTAGCTCCAGACTATCCTTCAAATAGCACCCTGATGCATGACTTGGTGGGTCAATAAATCTTTCGAACACAACCCATAACGTCCACTTTGGGATGGTTCAGAACACAATTAAGCATATTACCCTCTGGTAAACTAACGTAACTATGGAAAATCATCATTCTTAATGGGTAAATCCACTATAAATGGCCATTTTCAATAGCTATGTTAAATTACCAGAGGGTATCTATGCCTGAACTGACTTTTCTGGTTTGATTGGTACCTGAATTTTGATACCAGACACCTGACACCCGCCACTTTTCCAGGGACGAGGCCCCAGCGTCCCAGTGCCAAAACGCTGCCTGAGAAGCAAACGTGCCTGCGACAACATTTTGGTCGTGCTCAATGCCACTTTTGGTGCCAACTCATGCCAAATCACTGATTTTTTGGGTGGTCGAAGGTTTTGAGCCATAGCCAAATCATGTCCCTCCTGTTGGTGGTGCAAACAAATTAGCACCAAAAGGACTCAGGTTTTTGAATTGACAGCAATTGAAATATCAGATGATTCTTCAAAGCTGGGTACCACCAAATTGGATAGACCATTGGATTGGTGGTTTGGAACATGAATTTTATTTTTCCATAATATATGGGAATAGTAACCCCAATTGACTATATTCATTGACTAATATTCATTCTTTCCATAATATATTGGGAATAATGATCCCAACTGACGAAGTCATATTTATCATATTTTTCAGAGCGGTAGGTCAACCACCTTGCGCCCCAAGGATGAACTCCTGGCCTTCAGCAGAGTCGGCGGTGCTGAGGAGACCCCAAGCCATGGGAGTAACTATGGGTGTTTCGGGGGATGAGTTTTAACGTGTTCGCCCCAACCCGGACGTTGCTCCACACTTACAATCGTCATGATGATGATGATGATGATGACGATGATGATGATGATGACGATGATGATGATGATGATGGTGATGGTGATGGTGATGGTGATGGTGATGATGATGATGATGATGATGATGATGATGATGATGATGATGATGATGATGATGATGATGATGATGATGATATGAACAGCTGAGGTCCAGCCCCATCATCATCATCATCATCATCATCATCATCATCATCATCACCATCATCATCATCATCATCATCATCATCATCACCACCATCACCATCACCATCACCATCACCATCACCATCATCATCATCATCTTCTTCATGAGGGATCAACATTCGCCACTCCCTATGAACAGTATGTTGACTGTGGTAACAACATCAACTTTATCTTCATCAGGGATCAAAATTCGCCACCCCCTATGAGCAATATTTTGATTGGGGTAATAACACCATCATACTTTCATAAGGGATCCCAAATTTCGCCACCCCCTATGAACAATATGTTGATTGGAGTAATAACATCAACTTTATCTTCATAGCCACCTGAAGTCAGACGCGGAGCAACGTCAGGGTTGCAGTGAACATGTTTTAACACTAAGACAGTCTAATTTTGGATGATTTGGGGTGTAAACGTGTGTAAACCCAGCTTAAGATTCTCCATCAATGTTTCTGATGTTTATGTTTATTGTATTTTATGTATTTTATTTTCAGGGGTTTCATGATGTTTATTATGATCTTGCTCTGCCAAGCAAGCAAGGTGATCCCTTTCAAAACCCTGGTACTAAATTCTATTGGTTTGTGCGTGTCTCTCTTGATGTGTCTTTACCACTTGCCCACAACAAGTTGCACCCTTGAAACTTGCCACCTTTATGTCTTGGGGACGGATCGGTATCCCAACAAATGATGAGAGCCAGATTTGAGCTCATTAAAATTGAGTGAGTATAAAAAGGTTAATCTGGGGTGTACACTGTCATGTTTCATGTTACTTAATCATTGTTTGTAAATTCCGGACATGCCTAGCGCAAATCAACAAGGGGCCGGTGGACGTGTCTTCCCAGATGCTTGTCGCGCCACCGGCAGGAGGGTGAGCGAGCCGAAACTCGCAAAGACAGACAGCCCGCAACGCTTAAAGGTGACTTGCTTGGACACAGCGACCCATTTCCAAGACTCATATCCCATTTTCGCAGGTCTAGACACCATTCGATGAAGCCATGATACAGCAGTTGTTGGTTGGGGATGTGATTTGCTAACACACGCTCGATTTTCTGGGGAGGATATCAGGGGACATGAACGCTTCCAGAGGTGCTGTGCTTCGTGCCATTTTGGTCCCAGTCAATGTCATTTGAAGAAGATTATCATAGGATGTACCACTGCCAGGCGCAGGATAGAAGGCATCATTGGCAACACCACAGACTACACACGGTGATGTTTCATGAGAACAAGCCTGCATGGCAAGAATCAAGCTGTGAATCAACGATTTTGACGCACAATCAATCTCGGATAGATGATAACAACCCTACTGCGACATCGCTGGAATGATGGTTAGTGAGCTTGGGGATGACACTATTTCAGTTTGGTGAACTACTTATAATTGCTCCAGATCAAATACAAATCCCGGCGCTCACCCACTTGGTGGTGGTCACTGCTATGCCGCTATGCCATTCCTTTCGAAGGATGAGTTTGAGGAGCGGCCTGACGATCTCGCCAGCAATGAGTGGCAACGCATGAATGCGACCGGTGCCTTCATTGGGCTTCGGTATGCATACAGTGATTTTTGGAGGAATTTGACTTTCGGAGTTTCACCATCGAAGTATCGCATCATCACAGGTCCTGGAGATACGCATGTTCAGGTCGCCCAAGCCGATTCTGAAGAAGAGTGTCTTGATTTGCTGAAAAAGCTCAATTCCCTCAATGCAGAAGATGTCATGGCTGCACATTCTTCAGACAGAAAGGACATGCTGCACCAACTTGTCGAGAGAGCTAAGAGCACACATCATGTGGCAGTTGCAAATGAGCATCAGGAATTTCTCTCGACAGAAATGCTGCAGAAGATGTCCAATCTTGAGAATGAAAATGCCTCGCTTAAACAAAAACTTGAAGAGGCGCAGAAAGCAGTCCGAACGAAAGAGGCTGAGAAGCAGGACATCAAGATGATTTCTCCTCTGTCATGGCCCAACAAGCCTTGGAGCAGGTTGCAAAGGAGTTGAACAATGAGGCCAAGCCGGCAAAGTCACCGACTGAGGTCACCTATATGGAGAATTGCCCAGACAATTTGGGCCAGCCGAGTAGCACTTCTGGTGATGCTTCTGGCTCTGAGTTGAGTGGGGCACTGCCAGAAATTTCGGCCAAAGCACTCACTGCCAAGGCCTGCATGAGCGAAGATGCTGTGTCGCTACTCTTCCCGCAGTGTCATGGACTAGCCCACACTATGGAGCTCGGGGAGCTGGAGGGCATGAGTTTTGAGCAAAGGGTGATGCACGGCCCATTCTGCTCTAGTGTGGCCAAGCAGTTTTGGCAGCTTGCAGCAGCTCCATACGGAGCCATTAGCTGCAATCATGTCGAGGTGGAGGGCAAACTTTGGGAAGTGATTGCCCACAATCCCTCCACAGAGATTCTTGTCATTGGCCGAAAGGATCCAAAAACATCCATTTTGGAGGTTGGTTGTCGCGGAACAGTGACGGAAGATGCCTATGGCAACACAAGTTGGGCAAACTGGTCTCTGAATTTATGTGCACTTGCAGTTCCCTTGCGAGGTATTGATGGTGAAAACTTGACGGTGTCCGTGCACAAAGGCCGAAAAGCAATGCTTTTCTGATGTTAAAGACGTATCCGTATGTTCCAAGTCACTTGATTTCAAAGCCCGAACCGGGCACAAAATGCACGTTAGTCAGAGACTCCCAATTGGGATATAGGCAGTAGTTGGTATTCCGGAGGAAACAGATTTGTTTAAACAAGTATCCCTACGTTTCCAGCACCTTGGGATTTGGTGGACAAAAAACACCCATAGTTCATCTGCTTGATCGACACAATTAGCTTATTTCTGCCAAAAACAAACGTTTGAAAACCAGCGCAAAGAATGGCTTTAAGGAGTGAAACGGACTTTTCGCTTCACACAAGTTTCGCTTTGGCACAATTTGCAGCCCAACAGGGTCTTTGATTGAAACAACCGTTTTCTTGCGCAATCTAATGTCTTGTGACCCTAAGGGCAAGGTGTCCTTACTATTGTTGCGACATTTCGTTTGCAAACCGCAAAGCTCGAAAGAAACGACGGCAGCGGAATTTGTTTGTTTCTTTGTTGTTCAGCAAACATTTGTTGTACACCCTTCGGCAGAGAGTTTGTTTTTGTTGTGTCAGAAACATACTTGTCAGAGAACCCTTTGTTGCAGCCTCAAAAACAAACGTTTCCAGTACGAAGAAGAAACCATGCATTTCATGCGGTGGAACACACTTGTTTTAAACTATCGTTTTCATGGAAAACAAATACATAATATACATGAATATTCAATCGTCTGAAGATGTTTGAACATCATTGTTTCTGTTTTAAGTCGCTAACATCAAACTCAGCGTCAGCCCCGCTCGTTTATTGCCCTGGTAACAGTTTTCCTGTGTTCAATGTCTTTTTTTTCGTCGAGTCTACTGCGGTGCCATTTTCTTTTCCCATCTCAACACGCGGGCCGCTGCTCCTTGTTGGTGGCAACTGCAGTTTCCAGCTAGAAACTTGCGGGAAAACCATTTGGCAGTGGCAAGAAAGTTTGCCTGAAGAGAAGCAACCACTGTAGCAACCACCATCAGCCACATTGAATTTCTAGCTCTTTCTGGCAACTTAGGGAGGAAACTCATTCTGCTCTGAAGAGAAACAGCTTCAGCTTCACCTAAATGTACGTAGGTTTCTGGCTCTTTGCTGCATCTTTTCAAGGGCGCACACCGTTAATTTCGGGGTCAGAGATTAAAGTATCTCCTCTCTCAAAAAGCGTGTTTTTTTCAGTGAAATGTCTTTTTGGTGGATTTTTTTTGTTGCTCCCTCGGGTGCGAGGCTGGCTGCCAGCAGGTTCTAAAGACACGGTTTCGCTGAGAAGAACAACTTATACAATTAAACAAAAGCTTGAACCATGGCATGGTGTTCGAAACCATACACGAGAGCTCATGCCCGTTTTGTTGCAGCCGTTGGATGTCAAAGGCTGGTAGCTATGGGAAAGTGAGACAACTAATATTCTGAAGTTTGAGCATGTTTGGACTTCACTGTTTTTTTGTGAAGCTGTCTTGAACCCGTTTGCAAGGCTTTCAGGATGCTTACCTTGCCATCAGTTCGTCCTTGATCTCGTGGCTCGAGAAGTCGGCTGGAGACAAAGCCCTGGTTCGCATCGCTGGTCATTCCCTTAGTGCTGCTTTGGCAACTTTATTTGCGGTGGACATCAAGCAGCGCGGATGGCAGATTGACGGGGTTGTGACGTTTGGCAGCCCGAGGGTTGGCCAAAGCAGATTCAGATCCCTGTATCAGGAATTGGGTCTTCACCGTCTTACTGTGCGCTTTGCCAACAACTATGACCCTGTGCCCTGGGTTCCTGCAGAATCTTGGGGCTTCGTGCATGTCGTGGAGGGATATGCTTTGGGTTTGCAGGCCCCTAACGGCAGCCCCCATTCTATGACAGGTAGTTCCACATCGTACGTGCACACCTTGCAGGATGCAGTTGATGGCCGCGTAGTGCAACACATCGTCCTGCGCGGGGTGAATTTGATCACCGATATGAACTGCAGGGAGTCTGCATCGTCTAGCCTGGCGCTGCAAGTGAAGCAGGAGTTGAAGGTCGACATCGCCCTGCTCCGGCAAGATGTCTCCAAACTTGCCGAGGGCATGCAGGCAGCCGTGCGAGAGCTCAAGAATAATGTGAGGCAGGTTCATGACTGGAAGGATGTTTTAGACATGGAGACTCTGATTGACATTGTGAAGCACTACAAGGCAAAACTGCAGACATGGCAGCAAGGTGTTCCTGGGTGGTTCGTGGACTACAAGAAGCGACTGAAGAGAATCCTTGAAGCAGCAAAGTTGGAGTTGCAAGACGTGAGCTCACAGGTGGCACCGAAGTTCGTCGTACTGTATCTGCATGCTGCATCCTTCCTCATCGCTGCCATGGGTCCCTCAGGAGCGTGCTCGAAAGACGTAGGGAAAGAAATTGAAGACTTTGTTGCAGCGGCAAAGGAAGTGGTTTCGAAGTGTTTCCACTTGAACACGCCCCTGCTGCATGAGATCGTGCAACTTCTGCCGATCACTCACGATGTTTCCTCACTTGAGGATGGGGAAGTCCACATAAGTTTGCAGGGAGGGGTCTTGAAGCTTCGTGGCAGAAGCTGCCAGCTTGGATCCCCTTTGTTTCAACTGATGAAATGGAGTCAAGACCGCAACGCGGACATGCTGGAATTGCAACTTAATAGTAAGAATATGGATGTGCTGCTGTGGCAGCTTGCTAGCCACATGCCGCAGAGCCTGACCTCCATAAGTTTGGATTTAAGCCTCGGCACACAAATAGTAGATGCACTTCTGCAGACGCTTGACAGCAACATGCCCCAGAACCTGACTTCATTGACTTTCGACTTCCGGTTGTGCCGGTCAATCACAGACGCATCTGTGCATCAGCTTGCCAGCGCAATGCCGCAGAACCTGACTTCATTGACTTTGGATTTTGCATTTTGCAAATTAATAACAGACACATCTGTGCAGCAGCTTGCCAGCGCAATGCCGCAGAACCTGACTTCATTGACTTTGGATTTTGCAGGATGCGAGTTAATAACAGACGCATCTGTGCAGCAGCTTGCCAGCGCAATGCCGCAGAACCTGACCTCATTGACTTTGAATTTCGGGTGGTGCCGGTTAATAACAGACGCATCTGTGCAGCAGCTTGCCAGCGCAATGCCGCAGAACCTGACTTCATTGACTTTGGATTTTGCAGGATGCGAGTTAATAACAGACGCATCTGTGCAGCAGCTTGCCAGCGCAATGCCGCAGAACCTGACCTCATTGACTTTGAATTTCGGGTGGTGCCGGTTAATAACAGACGCATCTTTGCAGCAGCTTGCCAGCGCAATGCCGCAGAACCTGACTTCATTGACTTTGAACTTCGTGTGGTGCCGGTTAATAACTTAATAACAGACGCATCTTTGCATCAGCTTGCCAGCGCAATGCCGCAGAACCTGACTTCATTGACTTTGGATTTTGCAGGATGCGAGTTAATAACAGACGCATCTGTGCAGCAGCTTGCCAGAGCAATGCCGCAGAACCTGACTTCATCGACTTTGGATTTTAAGGGATGCAAGTTAATAACAGACGCATCTGTGCATCAGCTTGCCAGCGCAATGCCGCAGAACCTGACTTCATTGACTTTGAGTTTCGGGTGGTGCCAGTTAATAACAGACGCATCTGTGCAGCAGCTTGCCAGCGCAATGCCGCAGAACCTGACCTCATTGACTTTGAATTTCGGGTGGTGCCGGTTAATAACAGACACATCTGTGCAGCAGCTTGCCAGCGCAATGCCGCAGAACCTGACTTCAATTGACTTTGAATTGTCAGCATGCGAGTTAATAACAGATGCATCTGTGCAGCAGCTTGCCAGCGCAATGCCGCAGAACCTGACTTCATTGACTTTGAACTTCGTGTGGTGCTGGTTAATAACAGACGCATCTGTGCATCAGCTTGCCAGCGCAATGCCGCAGAACCTGACTTCATTGACTTTGAGTTTCGGGTGGTGCCAGTTTATAACAGACGCATCTGTGCAGCAGCTTGCCAGCGCAATGCCGCAGAACCTGACCTCATTGACTTTGAATGTCGGGTGGTGCCGGTTAATAACAGACGCATCTTTGCAGCAGCTTGCCAGCGCAATGCCGCAGAACCTGACTTCAATTGACTTTGAATTTTCAGCATGCGAGTTAATAACAGACGCATCTGTGCAGCAGCTTGCCAGCGCAATGCCGCAGAACCTGACTTCATTGACTTTGGATTTTGCAGGATGCGAGTTAATAACAGACGCATCTGTGCATCAGCTTGCCAGCGCAATGCCGCAGAACCTGACTTCATTGACTTTGGATTTTGCATTTTGCAAATTAATAACAGACGCATCTGTGCAGCAACTTGCCAGCGCAATGCCGCAGAACCTGACCTCATTGACTTTGGATTTTGCAGGATGCGAGTTAATAACAGACGCATCTGTGCAGCAACTTGCCAGCGCAATGCCGCAGAACCTGACCTCATTGACTTCGAATTTCGGGTGGTGCAAGTTAACAACAGACGCATCTGTGCAGCAACTTGCCAGCGCAATGCCGCAGAACGTGATTCATTGACTTTGGTTTTTCAGGAATGCGAGTTAATATCAGACGCATGTTCGCAGCAACTTGCCAGAGCAATGCCGCAGAACCTGACTTCATTGACTTGGCATTTCCAGTTTACTTGATTGACTCCTGAATCTTTGTTTATGCTGGTCAATTTAAGACACATCTGTGCAGCAGCTGTTCTGAAACATGCCGCAGAACCTTACTTCATTCAGTTTAAGTTTCGATTTAATTATGTCAGCAAATCTCTGACGTATCTGATCTCAGAACCGGACTTCAATGACTTAATTTAGCGGAAATGGCCAATTGCAGATGCATTTGCGCAGCAGCTTGCACCCATGTTGCCGAAGTTGATTGCATTGAAATTGAGATTTTGGGAAACCACGGCTCCCCTGAAGTGCATGCGCATCCGTGCAGCAGGGCGACGCCGCTGTTCGTGACGGTGTCTTTTTCTACCACCATTGTGGTGCTACAAGGGGGCTAATTACATGGTACCCAGCAAATTTTGGAGCACTTCTAGACTTGACGCTTCCAACTCCTCTCTTGATTTGGAAATTCCCAGTTTGATCGCTTCACTCTCACAATTTTTAGTTAGTTTGTTCAGGATTTGGCTGAATGTTTGTTCGATAGAATTGTTGCTGGGTGTACCCCCCATCCAGGTAGATTTTGGGAACTGAACTGCAGGGTGCATAGCCTTCGGGCCGAGGCCTTCTATATCAACACAGACCTGGACAGTGCGCGGCGCGAAGGGCTGGAAATCACCTGCCTGCAGCTGGAGCTGGAAACTTGGAGGATGATGGAGGTACGGAAGTGAAGATGAAGGGTCCAAGAAATGGGTATTGTGCACTCAATAGATTGTAAAAACATGTAAAAACATGCAAAAATGTGGACTGATATTGCTAGTCCAGGTGTGTTAGTTTCTGAACATGACTAATATATACTAATATGACATAATTAGTTGATATAGACATTTTTGACCCCCCAAAGTGAATGGCAGAAGACTGAAAACGGCAAATTTCATGACATGTTGTTCTTGGGCGCACGGGGATGCCATTTTTGAGGCGCAGCCAGATGGGTATAACCAGCAACCAGGGGGGCCCAAACTGCGGGGCACGGCGTCACGGCAGTTCCAAGGACTGCGAACGCGTGGTGCCACCGAAACTCAGCAGCCCAGAGGTGCAACGCTGTGTGGAGCAGACGCCCCTGCGATCCTTCGAGTCGCCCAGCTGGGGATGAACTCGCACGGTTTTGTGGAAGCCATGGGCTGATACCCTCTGGTTATGTCAAAATAGCTATTGAAAATTGCCATTTATAGTGGTTTTTCCCATTAAAAATGGTGATTTTCCATAGCTATGTTAAATTACCAGAGGGTAACCAACAACTGGGGGTGCCACAATCAGTGGCAACTGAGAAAGTGGAGTGATCATCTGAGCTGATGAAGTCGGATGAGTTTCAGAAGCTTTTCATGTAGATGATGTAGATGAGAGCCACCCTGCTTTCCTGCTGTTTCTTGGAGGGTTGAAAGACTTCCTTGCTCTGCCTTTGGGCGGTTTCACGTGATGGTGTTTCTTAAGTGAGGCCCCCTCACTTCCTGTCACCTTTCCTTGAAAACATGTTCTACAAATATCCCTCGAAAATCATTGAAGCCAAAGTACCAGAGGCATCCCACCACAAGGTGTTCCCTGGTGCATGCGCACAAGAAGATCCTGGAGCGGATCAGTCGTAGCTCCTCCAGGGCGTTGGTTTTGGAGGAGATTTTTCAGCAGCACCATCCGCAGCTTCCCAAAACACATTTCTGGGCGACCCCACGTCTTGGCTGGCAACAAACGACACCTGGACATGTTGCTATAAAGTTTCCAGATTCAGTTTCTGCTGTCTCGATTCTGAACAGTTTGCAGGTATCACAAACATGTGGATTGCCTTGAGACAGGAAGTGCAAATGTGTTGTGTGGCGAGATCACCTGCATAAATGTATGTTTCAAAACAAGTTCTTGGAGTTCGCTCATGGTGAAATCTTATGATGATGGTCTACCAATTTATCAAGATTTATCAATGTATCACGATTCATCAAATTACCAAGATTTACCAATCAATATCCGCAGTTTACCAAACCATTTCCTTTCCATCATCAGCACTGGAGGATGATGCACGATTGAATGGGCAGCTGGCTACTGAGGAGGCCAAGGAGCAAGTGTAGGAACGTGGCTTCTGCAATCTTGTTACTGCGTGTTGGCAATTTTTGAAACTGAAACAATCAAATTTTAGTGGAACACGTGTATAATATATATATATACATACATGGACATATCGAATTCCTATAGTTCCTATTCCAGTTTAAAGGAACAATCATGATTCCATCTTACAAAATTAGCCCAACTGTCTTCCAGCAGGAGTTTTTGGCTGCCACTTCTGGTGACTTTATCATGGCTGGCTGGTGCCTTGGCTCATAGGTAGAAAGGCCGCTCCTTGAACGATGTTGGAAGCTTCAAGGGGTGGTTGTGTTGACGCAAGATACGGAGAATCAGTTGCTTCATGATTTGAGGAAGGGTAAAGAAATATAAAATCATGGACCCATCTCAGAGGTTTTGATTATTTTTAGAGTATCAATCCATCTATTATCTTTTTGGGGGTATCAAAGTTTGATCCGTAGCTTGAACTACGCTGCGCGTCTAGATCAGCCCCATCATCCCCGCAACCACAGCTTGCAGGTGTGATCCATCCTGTGCACATGCGTATTTGGTGCTCCTCAGCAGCAGTTGGCAGTTTGGGTTCTGTCTCAAAGATCACAATGGGTATGGAAATGCTTTCAGAAGGTAAAGACAAGTCGCATTTGCGACCTCAGGAAAATGCAGCATCATTTCCGCCCAGAGACATTTTTTGAGTATCCTCAGAAGTTGAGTTATCAAGAGGATCCAGCTGGATGGGTTCATAGTCGTTGACATGAGGTCACCCATTGGGGCTTCCATGCTACTGGATAGAGGCTTTGCTCGCAACTTGGTTGGCAGCAACGGCTGCAAAAGGGAATGATAGCAGCGGGCAAGGGGTGGTTTCGTCAGAAACAGAGCACCAAGAGGAAGCTCTTGGGGGTTCATAGTTTTGAGACATAGTCAAGAATAGTCAAATTTCATCAAATTTCTATGTTTGTGACGTGCATCCTAGGTCAGGAATTCTCTTGAACATGGCAAATGTTTCAAAGTCCTTCCTGGCAGTTTCACCTTGTGATAGCCTTGCAATTGTGGCCGTCGTTCTTTCTCCGCAACTCTCCAGTTGGGTCGAATTATATGGCTGGAGAAAGCAGGATTAATTACCCTACCTCCCGTCAAACGTGGCGATGGAACATCTCTTCCAGAATTCAGCCCGGTATCCAGCTGATCCGGAGCTGATCCGGTCCGCTTCCTTGTTGTCCAGGGCCAAAGTTGCCGGCGGATGCCATGTTCCCAGCTACTCGGCCGATAGATGGACCATGGAGATGGGATGCCGGGCCTTGGTTGGGGGCCGCAGATGGAGACGCCAATGATAGATACATAATTTCAACCCAAGATTAACCCCCAGTTTACAGGGAGGGCGCCAATTTTACAAGTAATTTATCACTATTTTGGGGGTAAACCCCCATAATAAGTCAACAGAGTTCATTCATTTCAGCCTCAGCAGTCTCTGTATCCCACATCCAATGGACAGCACAAACTTCCCAAGGCGTTTGAAGTGCAGGCCGGTCGGCTGGGGGCAGGAAGTGATGATGTGGGGACGGGCGTGGGATCTTTGAAGCGTCTAACAGTTGAATGGCCAGTTCTACCCCAACTGGTGGCCGTGTTGATCAGTGGTTCAGACAACAACTCACTGATGTAGATGTGAACAAGTCTAATTCTCTGTCTGTAGTTGGAAGTTGTTGGGAATGGATGTTGAATGTTGTTGTGCTTGGCGGGAAATTCCAGAAACCTGTTCTTTTTGGTGACCGAAGCAGATGCGGCCCTCGAGTCCCTGCTGAGGATGTGCTGTTTCCAGAGAAGTGCCCTGGTGGGCCACCCTGGCAGGTTTGACCAGTGAAATTCAGTGATTTTGATATCGATATTCATGATGATATTGATTGGCAAAATTCAGCAAAGAGTCATATATTATGGCTCCCTGTCGCAGGGGTTCCTGTTGCTACCCCATACTTTATTTATAACTAAGTACAAGTGCTGGAAGCGTTCCTTTGGTTTCTAACAGCCGTGTGTCCAAAAGATTATCTTCCAAAAGGGGTAGTAGTTCACATCAGATCGTCAAAAATATGTTCCTTTTTGGGATTAGCGACAGCTTGCGGCGGCCGCCAGATATCCCGGCGACATGGGTCTATTTTGCCAAGATCGATCAACGCCGCACTGCAAATCCTACTCGCAGCTCGGAGGGTGTCGACGAATTTGCCCACTTTTGCAGCCGAAACATGCAAAGCCGGAGTTTCAAGTGAGTGAATGTGGCTAGAACTCTGAGTACAAGATAGTACAAGGTCGAATCTCATGACCACCTTTTGGGTGTTTAAAATGGACTTGGGGATGTGTTGGATTGCTCTGAGAAAGATTTTTTGTGTGAGTCAAAATTGGACACCCCACAAAATGACTATGTAAAATGACTATGGGTTGGGAGGGTCTACAACTTTTGGCGCATGCACGCATACCCCACAAAGTGACTACAAGTTTGTTTCTTTCCATGACAGGTCACCAGAGGCGACACGTCACCGCAGACATCTTTTGGTCTGGTACCCTCTGGTAATTTAACAGTTTGCTATTGAAAATGACCATAGAAATAGTGAGTTTTCCCATTAAACATGGTGATTTCCCCAGAGTTTTCCCATTAAAAATTGTGATTTCCCATAGTTTTCCCATTAAAAATGGTGATTTCCCATAGTTTTCCTATTAAAAATGGTGATTTCCCATAGTTTTCCCATTAAAAATTGTGATTTCCCATAGTTTTCCCATTAAAAATGGTGATTTCCCATAGTTTTCCCATTAAAAATGGTGATTTCCCCAGATTTTCCATAGTTTTTTGTAACAGTTTACCAGAGGCTAATTCTGGTGCTCAGATCTCCCAGATTGCCATTGAAACGGTTTCTGAGGTACTATTGACCGCAGAGTGAGTTGGCTCATGTGGAAAGGGTCTGTGCAGATCCAGCGAAATTGCTGGAAGTGCCACATTTCGATGCGGGTACCCTCTGGTAAACATACAAAAAACTATGGAAAATCACCATGTTTAATGGGAAAATCCACTTTAAATGGTAATTTTCAATAGCTATGTTAAATTACCAGAGGGTAAAAGAACTCAGCGAATCTGGTCCAGGCTCAAATGGGTATGTCTGAAAATGGGGTATATTCCCCCAATTATAGATAGCCATTTAGTAGGGATAATGATCAGCAAAACCATTGGGTAAATGGGGTACACTATTTTCAGACAAACCCAAATGATTGAATCCGCGAACTTGATCTTTCGAGACCAAGAAAGACTCATTTTTGTGGTGCCTGCAATACCCCCGGCGGGTCAAAAGGCATAAGATAGAGCACGGATTCGTCAGGGTTTAGGTCATGATTGGGTCCAGGACTCCTGCTTCAAACAGACCATTTTGGTTCTTGTTGGTAGCCCCCTAATGTTGACCCACACCAGGTGAACATCCCAAACGTGCATGAAATAGACCACCTGTTGGGACGTTCATCTATATGCCCCAGTTTGAGGTCTTACCTTCTGTGCAAATTTGCTGATTACGTCCACATCGACTCTTTTCTTAGTTATTCTTTTTGTAATCCAGCATTGGTGCTTCTCATTGCAGTTCTTTGTCGCCTATTTCTTCAGCTTCACTTTTAAATCTTTTCAGTTTGTTCCATTGGTTTGACTCATCTCCATACACGAGAAACTGACAACAATAGTAACCCACACCAGGGGATAGATGTGTACTGGAGACAAAATTACATCCCATGTCATTTTCGTTGCGCGCAATCCACTTGCAAATTTTGTCTAATGTTGGTACACGTCCCCATTTTTCTGACTTCATGGCCCTCCCAGATATTCACCACCTCCCCATGTTTATGCCACTTAGTCACAAAAACGCTAAGAAAGGCCCAGCCTAGCTCACATGTTTATTTATGACTTGATAACGAACAAATCCATATGGTGGTTTCCTAAAATAGGACTACCCCCAGTTACTCATCCACTCAAAAAGATGGATTTTCCATGAAATACATATTTATAAATTATAAACCATCCAGCTATGGGGGTACCCCCATTTATGGAAGCCTCCATATACCCTCTGGTAATTTAACAGTTTGCTATTGAAAATGGCAATTGTTCATGGGAAAATCCACTATTTAGATGGCCATTTTCAATAGCAAACTGTTAGTCATTACCAGAGGGTAAACCATCCATTTTCAATAGCAAACTGTTATGCAAACTGTTAAATTACCATTTTCAATAAATATCATAAACCATCCATAGTCATAGTGGTAGCCCCATGACTATGGAAGCCTCAATCAACCGAGCTGCTCACCAGCTCTCTTGAGATGTCTTCCCATCTCGGAACCCGTCGGAATCGCCGCGTAATCGCCAGGAAGATCTGAGCAATCAGCAGGAGCACTTCGACTCGGTGATGATCGATGAAGTGAAGGCTTGGAAAGATGAGTTTAGTATAGTTTAGTATAGTTTAGTATAGTTTAGTGACTGGAAATGGATGTGAACCAATGGAAATGGATGCTACCCTGTAATACCCTGTAGTGAATTCACAAAACAGTGTGGAGCATCATGGACAAGTCATGACTCTCCTAGGAGATGGTCGATAAATGTTCGATATTTCCCTTATCTCTCTTAATTTACTGGATGGTTTTCTCTGGGGAGTGAAGGGTGAAGGTTCCTGTGCCAGGGATGCCCTCATTTATGCCCCAAGGTTTGGATCCCAAATGAGGGCATCCCCAAATCTTGGAGATCCATCAAATACAAGTGGATTTTAGTGGGGCAATGGCTACAAATGGATGTGTAGCCGTGTAGCCAACTATCGCCCACCATCCAAGAATCGGCCGCTCAATCTGCTCTGCATGTCTGAAGACTAAGGGATGTTGTTTTTTTTGTGGTTCAGGGTGTATCATTGCTAACCACCTTCAGAGTCGCCTTCAACAGGTGAAAGCGCTGCAAAGCGCCCAGCTCAAGAAGAATGAAGCACAGCACGCCTCCAAGGGCGACAGCTTACTGCTTGCCGTTGATGGACCAACTTGGGAAAGTATCACCAAGTGCCCGCAGACGGGAGACTTAGTGATGGCTTCCTTGAAATGATTGGGATGATGACATGGCTTCTATTGCTACTACTAAGAAGGAAACACTACACATTAAAACCCTATGTCTTTCAACAAACACAAGCTATTGATATCTGCCATGACAATGAAAACACCTGCTGGTCACCATCACTGCTCGAATCACACCCTGCCAGGCACCAGGAGACGGCCCCTGTGATCTCCAAGAGCAGCGCGCTGCTGAAGGTGGGGCTCTCCGCTGGGGATGTTGACCTTGATTGATCAAGATTGTCCATCGCTTTGCCAAAAACAAATATGGTGAACCCCCCAAATTTGATGTTAAATCATCAAATCACCATTGTTCCCCATGAAATCGCTCTATAAATTGGCGGCATAACATGGCAAAACAATTTTCACACACCACCCATATCATTATTCTAGTACAATCACACTACCATAATTCATATATTGATTCTATGGTGATTACTTGCCAACAAGATCATTTGATGTAGTTATATACAGTTATATCATTGGATCTAGATGGCCAATATCCCCACAGCTGGTGATTTTGAATATGGCCCAAAGAGATGGATCCTGCAGATGTTAGCGGTGAAAGTTTCCACATTTCACAGCCCCGTGACATGTTTGGAGGATCCGGGAGTTCCACTTCAAGAATTGACCCACAGAACTGTGGTTTGGTTTGGTTTGGTTTATGGGGATGAGATAGATCCATATAGATCCTAAGGATTCAGCAGATGCGGGGGATGAACATCCAAAATTCCAAGCTGAGTGCGAAAACCTGCGAAAACCTGGGTGTTCGATCCTGGGTTGTGACGTGTCGCAGAACGCCGGAGGCTGTGACAGAGCCCCAGGCATGCTGTGCTGCATTGGCGAGACTTCAGCAACTCGGCATTGCCACAGTTCAGTGGACATCGATCCGTGAAAAACATCTCCAGTGCCATCCAACATGCCTGGCTTGGGAATCCCCCAACTACCCTCTGGTTATGTCAAAATAGCTATTGAAAATGGCCATTTATAGTGAGTTTTCCCATTAAACATGGTGATTTTCCATAGTTATGTTGAATTACCAGAGGGTAAATGGGCATGTAAATGGGAACAGGATCCAGAAATGGGTGATTTTGCATTGTCATGTCTGATTATGTCTGATTACCAGAGGCTATTCATTGTCTATTGGATGCTGGATGCAGAAAAGGTGCCATCTCTCCTCCAAATTGGACGATGCCCAGGCAGCCCCAGGTGTCCGCCAAGCCAGCCTGGAGCTCAATCGTGAATCACCAGCCTTAGATGGGTGGCACGTGGTATCCCGAGCCCCAAACGTGGGAGTATGCTGCTTTTTGAGGCCTAACCTGTGGTTGTTTCTAGTTTCTTCAGTCAAGGGCTGCGATCCCATCACCGCCACTTGGATGCCTCATGTTTTGAGTTTTCACGTGGAGAAAGGTATTTTGTTGCGCATCTCTCTAGCCAGATCTGTCATATCTTCCAGAGCCGTCTGGATCCTTGATGGCTATGGATCAAATCATTGTTTGTCACCCAAGAGTTTCATGCTTTCCAACATGTCCCTCCCAAACATGGCCCAAAGTTCTGGGTCCCGTGGACCTTACAACATCTAAAGCACGGCAGCTTGATTGTTTCATCCCAACAGTCTGGCGGATCTTCGTGTTGCGAGGCCACTGAAATCATGCGGCCCTTGGTGTTTACCATTCTACAGGAGTCTGAGGCGGCGATCAGATGGAGGGACAGGTGTTGGTTTCCAGGATGGAAAGCTACCATTCAACAGAATCTTCCTACTTTCTGGTTTGCACCCAACTCTCGTGCTGAAGAATCTAGTCAGACACTGCCAAAATGGTTTCGGACGTTGGTGAATGGACCTCAAAATGGCATCACCAGCTGATCGTTCTAACGTTGTTGATTTTCCATTCCCACTTGGGAAGTTGATCCCCAATGGGCACATCCTTACACTGCACCTGCCAGGAATTCTCCAAGATGATCGACACCAAGAAAGAGGCCGGAAATGGACAAATTGCGGAATAATACATACATAGGATTCCGCACTGAGCATGAAAAACTGGGAGAGGTTGATTTGGATCTGTAAATCCATCTACAACATTTATCATTTGATGCCTTCAGGCCTATCTTGGTGGAACCACTGCGGTGCAGGATATGGTGGTGTCCTTCATGGAGCAATGCAGAGAGGGTGTGCGAGACGTATGGGTGCCCAATGGATCCCAATGCTGTGAGGTCCACGGATCATCAGTAGCACTTTTCATGTGTGGATCCCAATTTTGGATTTCTTGTATTTGAGTAACATCAAAAGTTGTAGTCAATTTTGGTCAGTAACATTGAGCTCTTTTGATCATCAGTAGCAATATTTGGAGAGAGTCCAACATCAGCAAGTTGGTCGATTTCAAGACAGAACGGACAAGCCGTCTGGATATGGGATTGACAAGTGCCTTGATGTTCCAACCCGCGGGATTCCCTTGAAAGTACACAGGCCCATTCTATGAGGGGTGTCGCGAATAATCAATCCCACGACTATTTTCTGGTGTCTGGCCATCGGCAACCAGAGAACCTGGATTCGACTCAGAAAGTTACGTGATGGTCAAGATTACAGGCCTTACAGGTGCTGAAAAAACCACAGATTTCGGCCATTTCGGCCATTGTTTGGATCCCAAATCCTCCCATTTTCGGGTGACTTGACCATCTTGACACATCCCCCTGGAGAACTTGGGCGAAACTGCCAGGCGGGCCGACAGTGTGGGCGCTTAGCCACCAGTTCTGAGGAAGACTTGGTAGTAGAATGTAAAAAAAAGGCACCTAGGCAGGCTATTTGATCTATTTCATGCTTATGTCTTACTTTAACAGTTGGATTGCGATCCAACTGTTTCCAAAAAATAGAACGCCTTTCAAATCTTAGCTGAAACGGTGAACTTGATGTCGTGATAGCCTACTGTTGCGCATCATATTTGGAGACGACTTTGGAAGGGTATGTATCCTCAGGTAATGGAAGATTCCCATTCATATCCATTCACTAGATGATTTCCTACAAGTATACCGTAAACAATTGCACTTTCGGATTGCCATATGTGTGATTGCCAGAGGGTCTTTAGCATAGTGGAGCAACAGTTGGGGATGGGTCAAAATCATTCAAAATCTATTTTCACCATAATTTTGGGGCATAAACATCCATTACCATCATTACCAGATATTTTCGAGTACCCTCTGGTAAACTAACGTAACTATGGAACATCACCATTTTTAATGGGAAAACTGACTATAAATGGCAATTTTCAATAGCTATATATGTTAAATTACCAGAGGGTAGTTGCCTGAACCGTGTGGCGTGGTGCTCGCCACAGCGCTCTGACTCAGGTCCAGCGACACAGCTCCTCTGGAGCTCCGAATGCGAGAGATCGAGGTGCACCTGGTGCACCTGTGTAGTGGCACAACCTTCGATGGGACTCAGATACCCTCTGGGTATGTCAAAATAGCTATTGAAAATAGCCATTTATAGTCAGTTTATCCATTAAAAATGGTGATTTTCCATAGTTATGCAACAGTTTACCAGAGGGTATTCTTACTAGTAGCATCATCCATTTACGGTGGTCGATTAGTCTCTTATTAGTCTCTTAATGTCTATTATGTTTATGAAACATGATGTTTTATGTGTCAGAGTGAATTCACATCAAGTCTGTGGCCATTATCATCTTGGATTCCAGGATATACCAGGTGTAAAATGGTGTAACTATTATTCAAATGTAGTCAGTCGAAATCAACGACACCCCTGTAGACTAAGCCATGGTCCGAGTAAATCATTCCAGGAGACTTCTGTTCGAGTCTTTGAGACCTTGGCGAAGCGTGCGGAGTTGTTAGTTGGGACCCAAGGGGGAGAGGGCAGGCGATGGGGCAAGATTCAAAGTCCAGGGATGAGTTCGTCATATTTCTATATAAGAACTTGTTGACGTCGGCTTAATTTGATCAACAAGATTGGAATCATGGGATTTGAAGGAATTTAGCCCACCGACTATTACTGTTTGGTCAACGGGACTTTTAGATACTTTTAGTAGTTATACAACCATCCAACAATTGGGCATGCGGACATTTTTTGCCAGAGTTACACCCAGATCAGTGGAGCCCCAATTCCTTTTCTACCAGCTTCATTGTCCAACAGCTTGGGGATACTGTACCTAATTCTGCGCCGTGGCTATTGATCCTCTTCAAAAGGTGATGTTGGAAGAGGAAACTTGGACTTTTTGGTGGCAGATAGTGGTGAATTCCCTCCAACCTCGTGATGTAAATTCCTGAAAAGATGGGAGGATCAGCAGTAATTCATCCTCCAACTATCCCCTCCCAGAAATCAGGTAGCCCATCCCCTCACGTGCATAGTGGTCCCCTCCAAATGCCTTCCCACAAGGTGGACTCTCTCACTAAATCGCCTGCAGAGTTTTGGAAGGCTTGCTGGGGTGGTGGGCCAAGGGCGCTGCCTTGGCGATTTCAAACCCCGAAATGGAGAGTATGAACAGCAAAAAATGGGAGAAATCATGTATATATCCAATTCCCTTGGGGAGATGTCTGCTTGCTGAATTTAGATCTTTGGTATTTTCTGATATTTTCTGCCTGCTTATGATGATGCGCCCCAACGACCAATGTTGAGGAGGGTTGAAGCCACCAACGCGAAGCAATGCAAAGGAGCTATCAGTTTTGTTTGTCCAGTAAACCAGAGAGGCACACATGTTGCTGCATTTTGCAATCGTTTTGCAACCGTTGTTTATGATTGATTTGCGACCACGTTGCCTGACTTGTGATGTTTACTGCCTCTGCAGACGTGCAAGTTGGGTTTCAGCTGCTGAAAGCGGATCAATCACACATACTAGACAAACGATCTCCGCTAGCAGAGACACAGAAGCTTTCGAAAAAGCTAGCTAACATCGCTTTTTGGATCCGGAGGTCAAAACCTTCAAAATACCATCTTTGGGGAGATGACAATCCATGGTTTGCTTCACTAAGTAGTTACCCTCTGGTAAACTAACATAACTATGGAAAATCACCATTTTTAATGGGAAAAACCACTATAAATGGCTATTTTCAATAGCTATGTTAAATTACCAGAGGGTACCAGGGAAAGACAACCGTTCCTCCAAGGTGTGGACAACGTTCTATCCAGCCCTGGTGGACTTTTCCGAGTGGCTCGGGGGAGAGTTCTCCGGATACATGATTCATCTCCTTATGATGCAAAGAGGTTTTATGAGCAATGATGTCGATCTTCCATGTGGATGATGATTCAATGATGATGATGATGATGATGATGGTGGCGATGATGATGATGGTGATGATGATATGAACAGCTGAGGTCCAGCCCCATCTTCGAGAGCGCCCTCTTCTTTTTCAAGAGGCCAGGGACGTGGCATCCAGCGATGCGACTGAGTTACTGGCTGTCCACTGTCCACGAAAAGGGTCATGGGAATGGGGCAATGCCAGGAACCCATAGGAACCCCCAAATGGATAGATCAACAGTTGACGCTCAACATCCCCATTTCGCTTTGCGATGTATTTTTGGGATGTGGGTATGGGTCAATACCTATTAATACCATTTTTAGGGGGATGAACATCCATAAATCCCAGCTATTTTCATGTGAACTACAGGGGTACACGGTTTTGACACACTGCCATTTTTGGGACGTGAGGGTTGCCATCCGGACCCCAGGGCCCCAGCGTGCCATGTGCCATGTGTTTCAGGTTGGGTGAGCTGATGAGGGAGGCTGACCCGCAATTGCCTGGAGCTCAGGCTTTTGCAGAAGAACCACCCATCTAAGACTCATCTATATCATTCATTCCGTATCTTTGCATTTCTATAAGTATATAATAGTATATATATATATTATATATACACCAATATAGTTACGTATATATATATATAAATATGTATATAAGACACATAAACATCATATCAACATATGTTTGGATCTTACTGGATCTTACTATACATATTTTACATGGATATGTCCAAAACAAGAAATGTATCCCACGTTTCGACGGACATCCCGAGGACGCAACAGCTGATGAACGACGTGGCATTGTCGTCACTGGCCAAGGCAAGGGGGCAGACCAACAAAGCTGCGGGGGGTTGACCAACATAGCTGAGGTTTAAACCATCAAAACTAGGGAATTTGCAGAATTCACCATCAAAAATGATGATCCAAGCATGAAAAAAGGGTGATTTAACCATGAAAAATTGTGATTTAACATGATTTAAGCATCATTTGGATCTACGGAGCAAACAATGTATTTGATTAGCACGGTATGGGGAATTCTTCAGCAAAAGCCAGGGATTTCACGAGACAAAATGGCATGTAAGCCCTTCAAAAGAGGATATCAGCAGCAAACAAATAGGTCAAAGATTTCTTGACAGAAATCGATGTGCCACATCTCACGTGGGGAACCCTAGACGCACAGCAATTTGGGCCAGTTTCGTAACACCACTCTGTGGCCCTGCTACTCACAAGTGGAATTACAGCTTGGGGGTACCTAGGAGTTCATGTGGGTGATAACTATCAATCACAGTTGCAACCATAATCAACTCCTAGTTATCTTTAGTAACAGGTAATCACACGCCTACCAATATATCTTGTATGTGCCCATCAAGGTACCCCTGCTGCGTTCCGTTCTGTTCAACGACGGCAGGAGTTGATTCGCTCTCCTGAGAAGCGTGAGGTGCTCTGCGAAGTCCTCTACAGCTACAGTCCGGAGGACCATTGGAAGTTGCTCAAACCACCTGCAGTACGTGTGGTAATGCCAATGATGCACCCCAATTTTGGATGGTTTACACAGGTTTGTACTGGCCTGCAATGGTCCCCAATGGCAATATTCGTAACGTCTAAGTTCCAAGCACCCAGGCATCGTTGATAGGACGGATGCATGTCAGATAAAAGATAAATTGAAGATGATTAAACCAGCCATTTCTCTCGGTGCTGTCTCGAACCATGGAGCCCACCACGTGGTTCCACCAGAGCCGGTTTTTCGAAAACATGCGCTGTGGATCAGGATACGTTGAATCATGTCCTTGCCCTACGATCTCTAAAAGAAAAGGCGTGGCGAGTCACCCTTCAAGGGTGCCATTTGAGCTATGGTCAATACTCATGGTTAATAACCATTAAAAACGGGGCTAGTCATCCAATGGTTCATAGGGATTTATGATAACCATTATAAGGATCCTTATTATGGATGGGATGACCATCAACCATATAGTGAGTATTGACCATGGCTCATTTGGGCATTGGGCCACCTTCTGTTCAAGTGGCACCATTGGTTGGGAAGTATGGCACAGCTTAGACATTGAGAACATCACTGTGACTGCACGACAACTTGAACCAGACATTCCATTCTCAAGGCCACCAAGTCACCAATGGGGCCTTGGAAATTTGTTCTTTCTGAGTCTTCAGCCATCCTTTTCCAAGGTGGAATTGCGATGTTTCATTGTTGCTTAAACTTAAACCATCAATTTCTCTGCACCAACACTTTGAGCCAACCCCACATGCACATTTTATGTGGAAGAGTGGCACAGTCGCAGCAGGTCGGAGATGACATGTCTGTGTATGTCTCTTGCCGGGACGCTCAAGATTTAACCAATGGTGACATGGAGGCGCTCCCCAGTGCAGAACTGTTAAATTTTCCCTGGACAACTTTGATCGCTTTGACCATGCAATTGCAAGTTTTGGAGAGTCCCAAGTTTTTTTTAAACCACGATGTATCTTGTCATTAAGGAAGTCGAAAGTGATACCCACCCAAACGTGTCGAACTTCAATCTGCACATGTTGGCCTTGCCTTTTGAAAAGCCTCGCTCTTGGATGCTCTTGGTATGTGGATCTCAAACCACCGCAGCACCGCAGGTCTGGCGGGTTTGGTACAGCTGGATGGGCAGCAGAAATTGCTAGATGACCACCTCTTAGATCTGTACATCTACTATGTCTGGAACCTCAAAAGGGCGGTAAGGTTTAAGAACTGGAATGATAACGGATCAAAAATAAGATCGAAGGGATTATACAAATGGAATACTCATAGGATTGAACCATGAACAAAAGGGATTTTCTAATGGAGACAGTGGTGATTTACCATTATTGGGATGGGTCAAAACCTATTTTTATCATATGACTGGGGGACTAAACATCCATGAAAACCAGCTATAAACTGTTGGGTACCTTTATTTTTGACTCATAGGCATATAAGAGATATATCGAAGTAGAGAATTGGATTTGTAAAAGAACACACATAACGGGGGTCACCACCTGGAGAGAAAAGAGGCAGATGATTCTACACGTCTTTATATCAGACCTACATACATTAGTTGGTCTTGGTTCCTTCCAACCCCTGTGACAGTTGGTATTGTATGCCTTTTTGCTGATGTTGTCGTTTTTTGGTTGATTGCATATTATACACAATAAATCAAATTTACTCCAGAATTTACGTTAATTATGATCCACAGCCATCTAACAAAAACCGGCCAAATTTGCGTTGCATTACAGCACCCAGCATACAGATTGAAGCCAGGTGATTGGAGATTTGAGATATTATTGGATTGATGTAAGGTAATATTTACAGCACACCCCGGTTGTTACTGTACACCCAACTTTAGAGGTTTCCTATAAACAAAATCCCTTCAACCAGTTCTTAGATGCTGTAACCTGTCAATTGTATCCCCCTTACCATTTCCACTACTAAAAGGGTGAACACGTGCTTGGTACCATCCTCTGATTCGTGGATAATTCAAGCAAAAAAAATGGACCCGTGCACCAGTTTTTGTAGTAAAAGGGTGTGCACTGTATCTTGTAGCGGCGTTCCATTTTGCACTCATAAATCGGAAACGCATTTTGTAGTGATTTATTTTGGGATGCGTTGTGTCGTGCCGGAAACCCTATAGCCCTCTTTTACCAGTCATGCTCGGTCACATGAACATATAGCTTGGACCCTCAGACCATTTTTGGCTCTTGACTCACGATTATTTCGTGGTAAGATGAGCCCCCAAAAAATCGAAAAAAAAACAAAGAAGGTAGAGACTTTAAGACGGAAAAATGGGACAGACTTGGTTTCAAAACCCATCAATTGAATTTGAAGTTGTGCGCTCAGATCGTTTTTAGCTCTGACGATTGCAGTTCAAAACCTCTGCGCCGTGCTTTTGTCACACCTTTTTTGGCCATTACATGCGATTATTACTTAAAATCTAAATCTATCCCATTCTACTAGGTTCCTGCTCTTTTTGTCCAATAGTCAAGTTTCACCCAAGTTCAACGAATCCATGCTCAGAGTTCCTTTCACCCACAATGTCACAAAGCACAGATTCGATGCGTGGTGTCCTAGTTTCTGGATGACTTGTGTCATGCACTGCATTTTGTAGTGACACACGCGTGCACAACCTTTTGTAGAACCTTCTGCGCCCCCCTCCAGATAAGCCCCAAAAAGTTCGAAAAGCATGCTTTTTATGTAGAGACTTTAAGAAGGAAAAATGGGACAGATTTGGTTCAAAACCGATCAATTGAATTTGAAATTGTGCGCTTAGATCGTTTTTGCTGCCCCATAGCTCTGACGATTGCAGTTCAAAACCTCTGCGCCGTGCTTTTGTCACACCTTTTTTGGCCATCACATGCGATTATTACTTAAAATCTAAATCTATCCCATTCTACTAGGTTCCTGCTCTTTTTGTCCAATAGTCAAGTTTCACCCCAGTTTAACGAATCCATGCTCAGAGTTCCTTTCACCCACAATGTCACAAAACACAGATTCGATGCGTGATGTCCTAGTTTCTGGATGACTTGTGTCATGCACTGCATTTTGTAGTGACACACGCGTGCACAACCTTTTGTAGAACCTACTGCGCCCCCCGCCAGATAAGCCCCAAAAAGTTCGAAAAGCATGCTTTTATGTAGAGACTTTAAGAAGGAAAAATGGGACAGATTTGGTTTCAAAACCAATCAATTGAAACTGAAGTTGTGCGCTCAGATCGTTTTTGCTGCCCCATAGCATTTCCCCTAGTAAATGCTATGACCCATTTAGTAGCGAATCATTATTTTTCATTGCAACCCGTTTTCACTACAAAATGGTTCCGTAAAGTGATTTTGTAGCGACCGACATTGGCTTTTGATCCTTCATAAAAGCACCCAAACCATTTTGTAGCAAGGGGGGTTGGTTCAGATTCAAGCTTCATTTTGTAGTATAAGGCTGTGTTTGTAAACGGTTTAGTGGGCACAACTTCTCTGCAGAATGCACACAGGGATTCAATTGTAATGTTAGTAAAGCAATAGGATCCACCATCCCAATTTTATCATTCTTATGGATGGTATAAGCCGTCAGACCATGGGTGGTTTATTATTGCTTTACTAGCATTACTCCTTTACATACCATGTTTTCTCATTGCAAGCGCGTAGAACCGCCCTTGGTTTCCAAGGCTCTAATCGCCATGCAGAGCGCCCAGCCAAGGTTTCATTCAGATGATGGGTGGGTGAGGATTGGATTGAGACTTATCCCATACCATTCGTGTGCATACATTTGCACACATTTGTACTTTTAAAGCACGCATCTATGTGACGATATGTCTATGTATCATATCTACGCATACCCAAACATGTGCATAGGTTGCAAGAAGAGGTATGATGGTCGAATAATGTTTCATTGATGGACACGTGCTTGATGCCATCCTGTAGATAGAAGCGGTGAAGAATTCTGAACACGAACGTGTCACAGTTCGCAACGTGACCTTATTGGGTTTGACGGTTTGACGCAGGAAATCTGCGTGCATCCTCCTCCTCCTCCTCCTCATCATCATCATCATCGCCACCATCAATCGTCATCAATCATTATCAATCATCACCATCAATCGTCATCAATCGTCATCAATCATTATCAATCATTATCAATCATCATCATCATCATCCTTATCATCATCATCATCATCATCATCATCATCACCATCATCAGCATCATCATTATTATTATCGCCACCATCAATCATCATCGTCGTCACCATGAATCATCAGTTCTCAATCATCAATCATCAATCATCACCATCACCATCATCATCATCATCAGCATCATCATCGTCCTCGTCATCGTCACCGTCTTCACCACCACCACCACCACCATCATCATCATCATCATAATCATCATCATCATCATCATCATCACCATCATCATCATCACCATCATCATCATCACCATCATCATCATCTTCATCATCATCATCATCCTCATCATCACCAGCATCATCATCATCATCATCATCGTCATCGTCACCATCAATCATCAATTATCAATCATCAATCGTCACCATCATCGTCGTCGTCATCATCAGCATCATTGTCACCATCATCATCATCGTCGTCACCATCAGTCATCAATAATCAATCATCAATCGTCATCATCATCATCGCCACCACCATCATCATCATCATCATCGTCATCGTCATCGTCACCATCATCATCATCATCAACATCATCATCATCATCCTCGTCGTCGTCGTCGTCGTCACCATCATCATCATCATCATCACCATCATCATCATCACCATCACCATCACCATCAATCATCATCGTCGTCACCATCAATCATCAATTATCAATCATCATCATCATCGTCGTCATCATCATCGTCACCATCAATCATCAATTATCAATCATCAATCGTCATCATCATCGTCGTCATCATCATCGTCACCATCAATCATCAATTATCAATCATCAATCATCAATCATCATCACCAGAAGGATTTCAGTCTGCCCATCCAAAAACCGCGCCAGGACGCGTGTCGCGGGCCTCTCGATCCTCTGCAGCGTGACGCAGTTTTCCTCGCACGACGCGGCAACTCGGTGGCGGATGGCCAGGTGGCCAGGATGGCCAGCGGTTGCCGGCGGGACATTAAAACATATTCAAAGCATATGAAACAACGATGATCTAGAGTGATCTACAGATTTTGGGCCTGATTTGGGTAGAAAACTCGAGGGGGTTGGGGAAGGTCCTCTTTTTCAGTGGCCACAGCAGTTCGATGTTTTTCTTCAGGTTCTGGCCTTGTTGCCCACCTTTTCGGCTTTGTCCAACGACGATTGGTGGGAGGTGCCTCGCGATAAGAGTTTTGGCATCTGTCAGTAATCTATAGTAAACCCTGTGGAAAAGGGAATAGTTTTCAATGGGTATGGTTCAAAAAAGGAGCCCAAAGAATGGTTTCAGATCCTTCAACACATGCAAACTACGCTTTTGGTGGTTGCATGAATGACTACCCCAATAATTTGACCCATATCCAAATCAACTGTAGAAGACTCAGCCGCATCACCCTCGCCTTGCCATTTTGCGGAGCGCTGCGGAGCTGCCATTCTTCGGAGTGGACCGCTCCAACGCCACGTGAACCCCAGCGGCTGAACATGGATTTATGAGCGGGATGATTCATCAATGGGGGATTTTCAAGTCATAGCATTTTGGACGATAGTTGGAAGGATTTGATATGAAGGGCTGGTCGAACAGCTATAAACATTATAAACAGCGAGCTCTCACAGAGCAGTTGCTATCGATGAATGGATCCCACCTCTGCCAATACAATACCAGCTGCTGGGGAAGTTTCCGAACGCCATCTTCTTGGGTGAGGTGACTGAAACCCACCCATGTCATTGGGAATTGGCCAAATCCGAAGGGTTGAATCTAGAGTTTCTTCTGGCTGCATCCCTCATTTCTTGTTGCTAAAATCCATCTTTCCGTTGGTTCAATGTGGATTTAAACAAACTCATTCTGAGATCCCTAAGCTAATGCTGGACAGGGAAAGAACAGCATTTTCCTCTAGGTTACCCTCTGGCTTTTTCACGGGTTTGCTAAGGAACATCTGGCAAATAGCACTTAATAGTTTTAACAGATAAATCATCTATAAATGGCCCATTTTCCATAGCTATGGAGGGCAATGTCCCTTAGTTTACGTTCACCCAAAAACGGCGGAACCGGCCGCAGGTGCAGGCGCAGCTGCTGCGACTCTCTGCGCTGCTGCTGCAGCACCTGGCCTCCCAGCGGGGTGCGGATGGTGCGGAGGGTGCGGGGGCCCAGTGGAGGTGGCAACTGTAATGGAGACATGTGGGTATGGATCAATACCTATTAATACCATTTTTAGGGGGATGAACATCCATTTACCAGCTATTTTGATGTGAACTACAGGGGTACAAGGTTTTGACACACTGCCACATGTGGGTTTCCATAAATGGATGGTTTCCATATATGGATGGTGAATGGAAAACCCTATTAAGATAGATGATTTAGGGGTACCACCAGTTTAGGACCCCCCCATATGATGTTTGGGATGGTGATAATATTGAATCATACGATAGATTCCGATAGATGATAGATAATAGATATGATTCGTAGGAAAGTTAAAGAACAATAGGAATGGTTGATGTTGCATAGTATTGACTGGGATATTAACTAACCAATCAGCAAGAATGGACATTTAAACAACGTTTCGGAACCTTGTGGGCGCGCGCCGACATGTTTACTTTTTCATTCATATCTTCAGCCATGCGTTGTCATCTGACACTTTCCCAATTTTTTGGGATCGCATCCAACCTGAGACATTCTGGCTTGCCGGTAGAAAGCCATGGCCTGCAACACTGTTTCTAATCCGGGAGAATCTAAAAGTTTTTGCATCGCCAAAGGAATTATGTGAGACTGGGATGGCTGCATTCGACCTATTTGGTTGACACGTCTCAGAGATCGCTTGACGCGCGAAAACTCTGCTTCGCTGCTATTATCTCCTCCCATCACGTGTGTGTGCATGTGGAAGAGAAGATCTTACAACGTAACATCACGCGTGTGTGCAAGTGCAAGAGAAGATCTTACAACGTAACATCACGCGTGTGTGCAAGTGCAAGAGAAGATCTTACAACGTAACATCACGCGTGTGTGCAAGTGCAAGAGAAGATCTTACAACGTAACATCACGTGTGTGTGCAAGTGCAAGAGAAGATCTTACAACGTAACATCACGTGTGTGCAAGTGCAAGAGAAGATCTTACAACGTAACATCACGTGTGTGTGCAAGTGCAAGAGAAGATCTTACAACGTAACATCACGTGTGTGTGCAAGTGCAAGAGAAGATCTTACAACGTAACATCACGCGTGTGTGCATGTGGAAGAGAAGATCTTACAACGTAACATCACGCGTGTGTGCAAGTGCAAGATAAGACCTTACAACGTAACATCACGCCTGTGTGCAAGTGCAAGAGAAGATCTTACAACGTAACATCACGCGTGTGTGCGTGTGCCACCCCCCCTGTTCCCCACCCCAAAAATAATAACATGTCATGCGGGCACAACTTCTAACTGACGGGCACAACTTCTAACTGACGGGCACAACTTCTAACTGACGGGCACAACTTCTAACTGACGGGCACAACTTCTAACTGACGGGCACAACTTCTAACTGACGGGCACAACTTCTAACTGACGGGCACAACTTCTAACTGACGGGCACAACTTCAACGTACCACCACGAAACACTGCCCACAGTGAGCGAAATGAAGATAAACGCGCCCTCACAGGCAGTTTTGCGCTCTCCCCCGTGCGCGCCGACAGGGTTCCGGAAGGAACAACAAACAAGGGGGTTTTAACCAAAGACAATGGGGCTTCTTTACCTAAAATGACCGATTTAACCAACAACCTACGTGATTTCATAGGATTTAATGGTATATACAACCAACAAGATTAGACATTTGGTGTCTGAAAACGCTGTGTACATCTTCGAATGGCAATTTGAGTAGGGAATCTGATAGGGAACATGATGATAAACCATTGTGTTTGGGGGTATCCTATTTTCAGACAAAGCCGTTTGGCAACTTCCAGGGGGGATCTACCATCTGGCAATTGAACACAGCTGTGGATAGATGATAAAGATGTAAAACATGGTGATTTTCCATGGCAAATGGTTGAATTACCAGAGGTTAAACCAACAAAAATTAGGGGATTTAACCAGCAAAGAATGGGGATTGAACCAACTATAGTGGGGATATAATGGCATGTATATATATATATGTATATATAAATACACATAGCCATGGGTTTTTGGGGCACCCTGGGCACCCTATTTTCAGAGAAACTCAACTAGGGGGATGTAAACCGGAAATGGTCATTGAAGAAGGGTGTTAACTACTGGGATGTTAATTTGGACCGATTTGGCGAAGGATTTATAAGTAAATGTGGTTTAGCCGGTCCTAAATGGTATATTTCCTGTGTTTTTTGAGCTAATCCAATATGGGAACCTTTGTCAACAAGTAGGTTTGGGCATGAGGGCTTTGGACACACAGGCTTTATGCTTAGGTGTGATGGCTCATCTTGGGGAACAGTAAATGAGAAGTGGCCTTTGACTTAGGATTGGGAACGTAAATCATCCAGAAGATCTCCCTTCATCTTTATATGGGTATGGATCAATACCTATACATACCATTTTTAGTGGGATGAACATCCATTTACCAGCTATTTTGATGTGAACTACAGGGGTACAAGGTTTTGACACACTGCCATATCTTGCTGAATTCAGTGACCCAAATCTTTGGGACCAAGGCCGAGGGAACGAAGATGGTAGTGCCAGCTGGGATCCCAGCTTCCAACTTCTCGCCAGCCACTTGGGATCGGTGCTAAGAATTCCTAAGCGCGTCCCATGTAAGGTGGTGCTAGCAAACCGGAGGAGGCTGAGGTGCTTTAGGGCCCTAGGATCTGGGCCAGATCCACCATCGAACTTTTTTGTTGGCTGTGATTGGAGAGAGGGGAGTACGATGATGGTGTCTGAGTCATGGCTGGGAATCAGCGACCATGGGATATTTTCGGACTGGGCTTGAAAGCACGAATAAGATGGGGACCTAAGAGTTGATGCAGGGCAATCTCCCCAGTTTACCCAGTGGAAGGGGCCCATCATGGCCCAGAGGTTCACTTCGGTTTTCTCTTTGGGTGGCGCACTTTTCTCCTCAGCCTTTGAAATACCTAAGGGGACTGCTCTACTGGAGTATCTGCAGAGTAGCAGAGTGTCATGTTCTTTTACCACCGATTCTTCGATTAATAGGAGGGACTACCCCGGTTTGGCTTCACAAAATATCAGATAGGTATATAATTGATGATACATGCTATAGCCAAACCGGCCTAAAGCTCTTCGTTTCAATGCCTCAGATACCATCAGATAGCTTGCATCAAAGGCCGAAATCTGCCGAGCCATTTCCTCCGAGCCATTTCCGCAGTGAACTGCCAGGTGACGGTAGACACCATGATTGAAGATGTGCTGAACATCGTAGGGCGACTCTTCGTAGTCTCCAACTCCAAAAACGTCTTGCAGGCTGGGTTTTTGGAGAGGGGATGAAGGGGAAACAAAACCGTGCCCAAAAACCAGGACCTCGACATACCCTCCGGTAAACCTTTACAGTTTGCGAACTTGAAAATGGCCCAGTCGAAATAGTGGATTTACCCAGCTATAAAATAGTGATTTTCCAGAGCTTTTTGTATGTTTACCAGAGGGTACCTCAACCATTTTCCATGAAAACCTCCATGGTTTACCAACGCCAGGTGGGTCTCAGCGGCCTGGTCCATGTGTTGACGGAGTACCCGACCCTGCTGCCCAACTATGTCCGGGTCCCAGGGATGCGATTGTGCCAAATGGAAAGGGAAAAGCTGGGGTTGAGATGTAAACCCACCGTAGCTGGGTTTATGTATATTTTGATCATTTTTTATCATGTTTTATCATTTTTTTAAATCATTTTTTATCATTTTTTAAATCATTTTTGATCATTTTTGATCATTTTTTATGTATATTTTTGATCCTTTTTCATGATTTTCAGTTGTATCACTGTGTCACTTCGATTTTCCAAATGTTTTTATCTTACTGGTTGGCTTTGCTCCAACAGGGCTTCTGGTGCCCATTGTGGGGACCAGGAATTGCCTGGATGGCATTCCGGTGGTTTGTATTTTTTCGTTTCTGGCGATATGTGGTGATGGTGTCAGCTCCTTTGATCAAAAATGTAGGAGTCCTCAAGCAGCAACGCTAGAGTATGTATAGTGGGACACATATCCTCGTTTTGGTAGAGTCAATATGGGTCAACTAGCTTAGTTTGACCTAGTTTTCAAGCCTGGTAGGTGCTTTTAGTTCACTTCCAAGCTTTAACCTTTTTGCTAGGGTTGGTGAGATTACTGGGGAAGAAGGCCGGCTTGGCTGGTTGAGGCTTATGTACCAATATGTATCAATCATTTCATTATTGTTGATAGTGAATTGTTGTTGATACTCCAATAGTGTTGGTTCTACGGTTCACGGATCTTATGGATGTTGCTTGTTTGTTTTACTTCTTTTTCCGGACATTTGAAACATAATGTTGATAATCAACCATGGCGTGCTGGAAAATCCATCATCGAGTTCGATGATGTTCTCAGCAAACTAAACATCAAGATAGTTCGGGGATTTCCTAGCCAGCCACGTTTGATGACACCGGATGGGTATCCATTGTGATCCGCAGACCCCAAAGGTGGCAGTCTTGCTGGGACAAACTTCTACCCTCCGCCGAAGACTTTTGGACGAGGTGAAAGCCTGGGGGTGGAGGTATTACCAGGTCGAAAGACATTAGATCTTGGGGTACACCCCCCAGTGATGGGGGTTTGTTTCGATGGGGAATCCCCAGTCGTCACTATAGGTTTCAATGATAAGTCATGGTCTAATGACTGAAGGCTTGGGGGTACCCCCAATGGATTGGGAACCTCCAAATGGCCATTTCAGGAACTAAAATGATGATGAATCAGTGGATGGAATGGGGCACCCCATTTTGAGACAAACCCACATGCACATCCTGTTTGATGTGGATATTCCATGATATTCCAACATTTACTGTGCTAAGAAAGTGCGGACTTCCACTGTAGGGTAGGATTCCTACCCTCTGGTAATTTAACATAGCTATTGAAAATGACCATTAAAAAAGTGAGTTTTCCCCATTAAAAAAAGGTGATTTTCCATGGCTATGTAACAGTTTACCAGAGGGTAACACTCTCTTTTACTGACCACTTCGGAACGATGATCCCATTCCACTTTGACCTTTCCCGGCCACTCCCACCAGGAGCATTCCAGCTTTTCCTTTGACAAATAGCCATTTGAGAATCCTCAAATACACCGGTCCATTTACACCGGCGACCCACGGCGACCGCGCTCTCAGGGTGGAGAGAGGCAGAGACGGAGTTATGTCCATGGCAACTCCACCAACATGTACGAGGTGTCACGGTTGGGCACTAGTCACTTGAAGGGAACTTCTCCCAAGCATTGCCAAAGTATCTTTTTTTGGTCAAACATAATCCAACTAGATTTTTGGGCGTGTCCAACTTCTTTGGTTTTGCAAACCATTGCAAAGCTGCATCATCGATGCCAGCATCAAAAAAGGGGTTTGTTGAAAAAGTTGGAACCCCCATTAGATCCAATGGTTGATCATCATTTTCCGCTTCCTCAACGGCAATTAATTTGGGTTAACCCCCCATCTGAAGAGACAAACCTCACTTGTTTGGTCAATCTCGATTTGTGCTGCTTAAAACTGCTGATGAAATCCTAAGTTCACGCCCAAAACCCAAATCGATGAGATTTGCAGCAATTTTCCCTGACTTTTTTTTCTCCCACATTTTCGGTTGGAACCCCTCCCAAAAATAGATGTGGTTCCCAGCTTTCTAGATCATGTTCCTAGGATTTCATCATGCATTTTCCACATCGAACTGTGAGTTTACCTCAAGGTACCCCCCTAGAGGCCCTGGAAATTGGGCAGGAGACCTGTTTGCCAGATGTGTGGCCCCACCTGGACATTGCGAAGACCTTGGCCATGCAGCTTGAGGTGCTGCTTTTTGCGCAGCGGCAACCAGAAATGGGGTACCTGGTTGGAGCATGTTGGACCCAGAAAAGGGGTAATGTTTAGGGATTTCAAATGACTTCAAGATATTTTTAGATTTTTTTAGATGTTTAACATTATTTAACCAGTTCTTTGGTAACCATGGGCAATTCACCGATTTAGCCAGAGCTAGCACTTTTTGGAGTTTATCCAGTCTTTCCAAGACATTGGAAGGACCTCCAAAATGGTCCATTTCACGATGGACTTGCTGATGATGTCCCTCGACGTGTGTGTTAATTGCTTACACCACAGCTCCACCAGCGTTATTATTATATTATATTGGTCGACCCCATATATGTATATATATAACATACATATAGCTATAGCATGTTTTATCACTACATTACTGGTCAATCCCATGTTTTATGGTCACTCACATCGTGCTATTTCCTCTACAAACATAAGTTTTTGAAGGGGCCCACCAAGTGACCACCGGAAGGTGTTTTAGAAAGTCCACCAAAAGGGAACGTTTCAACACCAGCTTCCAGGCCAAAATCATACGCATCTAAACTCCCCATAGCTGCCATCCCAATTTGTAATGGTAAACTCCCAAATATCGAATTGACCAGTGAGGGTCACTCAACTTGGCATACCCTCTGGTAAACTGTTACATAACTATGGAAAATCACCATTTTCAATGGGAAAATCCACTATTTCTATGGTCATTTTCAATAGCTATTTTGACATAACCAGAGGGTATTTTGCTGTGTTTTTTCTCTTTCACCAAAAAGATCCCCTGGGCAACTTCCCCCAAAAAAGGGCCGGGCTTCGCCAGGCCATGCAATTGCCCAGGATCGAAGAGGAACACCTGGAGGTGCGAAAAGTCGGCAGGTGACCTTTACATCTGGTTGGTGGTTTGGACCATTTTTTATTTTTCCATATATATATATGGGAATAATCATCCCAGCTGACTTTCATATTTTTCAGAGGGGTAGGTATACCACCAACCAGACATAGATTTAAAAAAACAACATGAATGATGGGACAAATCAGGGAATTTAAACAGCAAAAATATGGTGGATTGCATCAACAATCAAAAAAGGACTTTCGAAGAAATCTGCGGGTTGGATGGAAAGCAAACCTTGAAACAGTGAGGATATTCACAGGATATTCACACTGAGCATCATCAAGAACGGATAGATTTATCATGATTTATCTGCAAATAGAAGGATAGCCATCCAACATCGGGGGAGATTCAATGAACATCAGGACATCAATCAAGAACATTTCAGTGGCAAAGGAATGGAGGTAGACCCTCCTTGAACATCGTGCACAATGGGTATCTTCACCAGCAACCATGCCCATTTCAGCTGGAAAAGCCGAGTGTTACAACCCAAAAAACATGTTTTTATCCCCAAAGGAAGTTATGCAAGATAATATCCTAAGCTATTCATCACCATGGATAAGCCAGGTCCATTTGTTTCCCCTGACTCAGCTCCTGGAGGTGCTGTCGGCCAGCCTGCCATTCTTCTTTGAAGATGAGGAGGCAGATGAGTGGCTCCACGTCTTCGAAAAGGCGGTCTCGGGTGGCCATGCCAATGGAGCTACAGCTACCGATTCCATGCTGACTACCAAACCAGAAATATCAGAAATAGAAACGAAAGATCGAAGATAAATCCAGGCAATAAGGTTGGCGGTGGTGGCGGTGGCGGTGGTGCTTGTCGTGGTGGTGGTTGTGGTGGCAGTTGCGGGTTATTTGCGGTGATACAATGAGGATGAAGACAGAATGGAAGGGATTTGAAGTTCTCCCCTTTCTCTTCTGGAATATTGGATGCCTCAGCTTGACTGTGGCCAGCATCATGTCAAGCATCGGTGAAACAGTGATGCGTGTTGATCCTGTTTAAAGACACGTCACGATCCATGTGCAGTACAGTAATCTTCAGAAACTCCTGACTGTTCATGTCCATTCTATCATATTCTATCATTGTTCAACAAACCCTAAACCATATATCATCATAGTGACATGAACAGCTATGGTACAAACCAGTTTTATGTCCATATCTTCATTTGTACTATGTTGATTATGCACCAGAGGATATCTATTGTTCATGTCCAGTCTACCTGCAACAACTTCCAGAAAAACAAACTGCGCTGTCGAAAAGCGCGCAGTGAATTTGGAAAAACGGAAAAGCATCCCCTGCAGCGCCCCGAGATCCCATGGAAAATCAGTTCCAATCAGTTCGAAGTGGAGAATTTAGAAGCAAATACCATTTGGTTATGACTAACATAGCCATGGAAAATCCCTCATAAATGGAGGTTTTAATGGGAAGTCATCTATAAATGGGCCAGCTATACCATGGCTACTTGTATGTTAAATAACCAGAGGGTAATGTCATATCATGTTGGTGAATGATCTCCGGATCTCCGCATTAAATTACATGAAATTACCCATGATATATACCGGAATTATACCGTAATACCCCCCAGAATTTTTCATTCCATGATTTCGCCAAAGCCATGTGCCACGACACAGGTGAAACAACATCTTTTCACATCGCTGGCGTGGCTCTCGGCGACCGTTTTTCCAGTACGCGCTGCTGGAGATAGACTGAAAGTGTCCGTTGTTCATCCTGACAGACATGTCGTGGAGCAGCAAGCACATCCTTTTTTGGAAAAACAACTGAAAGATAATTATATAATTCTTATTTTTCTTATTACTATTACTATTTTCTTTTCTGCGTTCGGGATCTTTTTATCCAGAGCCTCCGCAATAATAAGGTGGATTCCCGGCTTCATGTGCTCAGCGGACAGATTATCAAGAAGTTCTGGGTCGGGGGCTCCGGATGGGTAGGCCTTATGGGCCTTGAGGCCTTGAGGCCTTGGGGGTGCAGTTCCAGTTCCACCAGTTCCAAGTGGATACATTGCCACAGTGAACTCAGTTATAGGGGCTATATCATGTTAGTTCATGTTATATCCCAACTTAGGGAGCTTATGACCATGATCCAAGTAGGGAAGTAGGGCTGATTCACCTGGCAGGTTGATGGCATTGATGGAGATGGATCTTTTGGTCAACCTGTGGTCCGTATCGTGATGATTCAACACTTTGAGAATGTGACAGTTGGCGGTGGCCATATGTGGCCATATCCATAGTACATACCGTATATAGTATATAGTATATATAAACATATACGTATGTATATATATATAAGAGCGCTCACACACACACACATTAGCTTTACCTCATCTTCTGCATGAAATGCTCCTTCTCTGGAAACAACACGGCAGATTCTCAATGGAGCCAGGCGTGTGGTGCGGAGATGTTGGCCAGCAAGAGCCGCGAAGCGTCCCGGGGGTTCTTCACCGAAGCCCTGAGCAGACTCTATCAGCAGCCTGCGGAACATGTGGAGGAGGCGGTGAATGTAGCCATGGATGAGGATCATCTTTCCACCATTTTTTGCGTTGGTGAATTGGATTGCAGATTGCTATAAGTGACTACACACACATATATAATATAATATATATGTATGTATATATATACATGTATGTATATATATATATATGTATGTATATATATATGTATGTGTATATATATATGTATGTATATATATGTTTTTATATATATATATATGTTTATATATGTATATGTATATATATATATGTATGTGTATATGCCAGCGGACCGAAAACCGTGCTCGTAAACCGCTCGTTTTTGCTAGTGTGTGTTCGCAGGTCATGAAGGGGCGGGGTGGGGTGGGGTGGGGGGGCATGTTAAAGTTCCTTGTGCTTCTTCTGCTGCATGTTGCTACGCTGCACAGATGTCTGGTAGTGTTGCTTCGCTGTATACATGAAGGGAGGGGGTGAGTTTGAAAAAACAGTCTACCGTGGAATGGAGAAAACCAGTTGCCACACTGGAACAATCGATGCCGCAAGGAGTGCTGTCAAAGACTTCATCCCCAACTCGTTGTGTTCAAAGTGCAAAGATCTTCTCCTCTATGTGAAGTGCTGGCCGTGGAGATATGCGAATCTGCATACCCATCTCCAGCAAAAAACAATTTCAACAATGAAACGCCTGCTTTGAAAAAGAAAGAAAGAACAAACTTGTCAACATGCTCCAATGAAATGAATCCCAAACCCACACGAAACGCGCATTGTGCAAAATTCTCGCGCGAGAATTTGGCACAATTCGGCTTGCAGACATGTCTGTTTCGCTCTGGCGATTTTTTTTTTTTGAAAAACGTTGCTTTTACGAGCACGGTTTCCGGTCCGCCTGGATGTATATGGATATGTATATATCTGTATATAGCATATACATACATATGTATATATATACAGTATACACATGATTTTTTTCCTGGGATGATCCCTCCAAATCCTGACTGGACCTTGGAAGTTGTTGGACTATAGATCTTAGGATCCGTGCATGGGTCAAAATTGATGGCCTGGATAAACGGACCAAAAGGGAGGGTAAAAATGGAGATGATTTGCACCCTGGACTCCTGGACTGCTTCTGAATCCATTTGAAGTGTTGGCATTATGTAGAACGATATTACCGCTCTCTCTCTCTCTCTCCCTCCCTCCCTCGTACTTTCTATCCGTTGGGTTTTTTGACACACACACAGAAACCTGGTATGCAATTGCACAAATTGGGGACAAACCATCTAGGGGAATCACTCCAGTAGCGATATTTGTACAATGTCTCAGGTGCCTCCCTCAAGTGAGTTGCAAATTTCACTTTCAGGTGTTTTTTTTTTTCACAACCACAATATGAAGTAGAGGCTGGACAAGACAAGGTTCCAACTGAAGATGGTATTTTCCTGAGTTCCATGTCAATGGCACCCAATACCAACGCATTCTGCATTTACCAAGAATATGAAACACCTGCCTAGAATCCCTGGTTTAACAATAGACATGTTCATGAATTGAGGTCCCATTAATGGGACGTATTATTTCGTTTTGTTCGAAGGAGAGTAATTAGTGCTAAACCCAATGCCAAACTCCCCCCGCCAATTTACCAAATTTTACATTAATTTTACCAATTTTGGGAATATTCAAAATCAGACCCGAAATGGGTGTTCAAGATGCGGTTAAACGTCCGTATCCCCTCTGGTAATTCAACAGTCTGTGGAAGAATCACCATCGTTAACAGGGATTCTGAAAATCCACCGTCATAGGCCATGTATACCAATATTAGCCAAAATTGACCAACATTAACCAACAATTCAATTGTCCTGTAAATGTGGTTCCTTCATTGTCCTTCCACATATTCTCAATGGGAATTTCAGGAACCTAAAATGGAGGTACTGTACCATATAAAGCAATCTTTTGCGGGGATATTCCCTTACATAGCCCTGAAAAATAGGCCTCAAAAAAATGGTAGGTACCTCCAATGAATCGGTTCGTGAAATGGCCATTGAACAATTACAGTACCACAACTCGCAAACTGTTAAAACAACCAGAGGGGATTTTTGTTGCCAGGCATCAATGCTTGTCTTCCTCCGTGAGCTTCGTTACTTTAATGAAGATCTACACGCTGAGGTGAGCCCTTTGTGTTGCTGGGGGTTGGTTGGTTCCCCATATGAGCTATGGTCAATACTCATGCTTAATAAGCATTAAAAACGGGGCTAGTCATCCAATGGTGATTTAATGGGATTTATTTCATAACCATGAAATTTTTGGATCCTTATTATGGATGGGATGACCATCAACCATATAGTGAGTATTGACCATGGCTCATACGGGATACCACACAGATGATCCAAGATGTTGACCTTTCTTCTGTTAAAAAAAAGGGGGAAAAACCAAGGAATTTTCTGGATCCCATGGTTTTTTTTTGGGGGTCAGTACGTATTTTCGGACAAAGCCCAAGTAGCCAAAATTGGACATGGATTATATGATAGGAACGTATATGAGGAAGTATGAACAACAAAGTAGCAAGTGTCTAAAGCAACAGTTCATGGGACTTTACCATCGAAACATGGATTCGAAGTCTCATAAAATCGACTGGTCAAGAGGACCACTTCAGAATTGCCGGTCAACGAGAATCGGCGCCGCAACATATATACTTATATGATCTTATATGATGACTTATATTTTTGGGATGGCTTCAAACCAGCAACCAGTTTATTTTTTTTGTAGACTGATCCTGGGAAAAAACACATTACGTTTTACTGTCAGATGACCAGATCTGTCAGAGCAGCAAGCTATGATCGCCCCGCAACGATCCTGCAGGTCGATTCTCTGTTGGATGCATTCAATGAGGAGTATCCTGATGAGTACAAGGCCGCAGACATCCGCAGACTGTGCAGATCTGTTGATTGTGGCGAGACAAGAAGCCAAGAGTTGCCCTGGTTTTGGAGAGTTTCGAAAGAGGACTCTTTTGCCAAGTTCCAAGTCAAAGGTATTGTATGCAGTCTGCAATCTTCTGTAAAGTCTCTCACTGTTGATGATATTTATGCAGCCCCAGGCATTCTGCCAAATCTAGCGGCACAGATTCCCAGACCACGTCACGACCTGGCTACGAACAGATGCCGATTTTGCACCATTCACATTGCATCACCAGTATTTCGATGGTCGGAAAAAAGTGGTTTCAGAAGCATTCACAACTTATGGCACTTAAGTCTGGTTAAGTCTGTGTGCTTGTATGACCCAATGAAACCCAGAGATTTTGCTTACATGTCCCTCAAGGGTCTGATGGCGATCTCCAGAAAACTGGACCCATCACCGCAGGCGTCCCAGCTGGAAACCATCCTGAAAGACTGAAGTGCAAGGTTTCACCCGTCCAGAAAGCTGGGCGTTGCCAAAAGACTCAGGTTTCAATAGATGAAAATGGTACTGGCCATCCCGATATCAATTGATGGTCAGATTGGTCAGTTCAATCCCATAATCCGTCTAGAATCAGGGCTAAATGATTGTGAATCGCATGAAGGTTGCATGTTGCAAACTCATCGGCATAAATGAACATCAGCTGAGTCTTTTTCCATTCAGAGGACGTTTCACTTGCAGAACACCGGGCAATAAGATTCCTCATTGGATTGGCCCTTGCAGAAATGACTGAGCCGTGCGCGAATTGTGGTGGAATTGCAGGGAGCCTGCTGTAGTTTCGCGCAGCCAAGACTTGTGGAGCTGAGCAACCGGACTTTGGAAGGGGTGCCAAACTTGCAGCTTAGATCGTGGCGCTAAAGCGGGCAGCTGTTTCTCAGCTCTAAGCAATGGACAAATCTGAACATGACATGCTGGTGACCCTAGCATGATACCTGAACATCAGAGCTTCGGAAAGGTCAAAGTACCAAAGATGTGCGTTCTACCAAGGCCTTAACTGCCTTAACTCTTAGTTGCAACTGTTGTCTCCCTGTGGTGATGGTGTGGCCCTGACCCAGGACGGATCATCCGGATCATTGGGGTATCCTAAAGGTGGCGGGACATGCCCAGTGATAAATGTGGCTTTAAACCGTTAACCTATGACACCATAGAAATATGGGGATGAACATCCACACATCCCACCTATATTTTGATGTTGCGCAGGGAACCAAAGTTGAACCGCCAGATGATCTTGCCAGTAACCTCTCCTGATTTTTTTTGGGGGAATTCGTGGGAATTCCTGGCCAATCATGTTTTGCTTCCCATTGGGTATTGGTTATCTGGTTGGTGGTTTGGAACATTTTTTATTTTTCCATATATTGGGAATAATCATCCCAACTGACTAATATTTTTCAGAGGGGTTCAAACCACCAACCAGTTATCGCTTGTATATCCCAGGTACCTCGGTGCATGAGGCGCTTTTGAACGAAACCGTGTGTTGGCGTAAGGTTTGTGACTTCAAAGCGGCCTCGCTGTGAGATATGCCGTAACCCCCATAAAATCCCATAAAGATAGAATTACAATTTGCCATGATACGCATTTTGTTTAGTTTAGTACGATTTACTACAGGGTTGGGTATTTTTGACTTTTTGACCCATAAAATCCATTGAAATCTCCTTATGGTCACTGGACCCCCCCATGGTTCTCCTGCGGTGCAGGTGGCCCCGAAGTGTTCAACGCAACTGGCGCTTCGGCTTTGGTCGTTTGGCCCGTTTGACCCTGACTGCAGCGGTGGCTTCTGCCCGTCGATCTGGAGGCCATTGGATGAAAACTCGGAGTGCCAATTTTGTCTCGCTTCAATGGATGCAAAACTCAGATTTAGAAAGCCACTCTGAAGTCACAAGTTGGTGCGCAAAAAGAATTTGCTTTGGATGTTTTATGTATATTCTTAAGATCAAACAATCCATCCCAACTTTTGAATATGACCCCGGATATCTATTGCCTTTCACGGGGTGGTTACCACATGTTACCACCAAGCAGACTGGGTGACGCAGTGCTGGTGCAAGCCTCTGAAGGCCGAAGTTTCACAATGGCCAGTGACAAGCTGAGAGGATGCGTTGTGGATCCGTGGTTTCTACATCAAAAGATGGGGGTTTCCTAAAATGGGGGTACCCCAATAGCTGGATGATTTATAAGGGAAAATCCTATTAAAATGGATATATGATGTTTATATAATGGGTTTTTTCTTGTAAACATGATGAGATAGTGTGGATATTGCGGGGTTATAGCCAACAATTTTGTTGGTGGTTCCATCAAAAAATAGTCTCCAACCATTATTTGGGATGTTAATCCCCAATGACCAGGGGGTTGACACCCTCACCAACGAGCAATCTTGAGTCTGGATTTATGAAATGTCTGGGTTGCTTCTAGGTTGACTTTGGGGTTCATTTGATTGCCTTGTCTTTTTTCTTGACACCAGAAAATTGGAATTAAAGGCAGTGAAGGATAGGGACCTGCAACTGACCAACCAACATGTCTATATTTGTCTCCTGACGGAAATTTTGAAGATCCCCAAACACCCAAGCCTTGCGTCAGACGCCTATTTTTCTAAGGTCAGCAATGAAACGGCAGACATATCCATGTATTGTGAAATGTTTGTTGCACCTTTTCTTGGCTCCAACTCTTTAGCTTCAACAGAACATCCATGGCATCCATGGCATCCATGGAGGATGGGCAACACATTTTCTTAGGGATTGGAGATTGGAAACGCAACCAGGGCCTCGCGAAATCATTTCTTGTTTGTGGGATCTTCCAGTGGATCTTCCAGTGGATCTTCCAAAAAAAAAGCCGCAAAAGGCTGGGATTTTTAGATCAAATTTGGAACCCAAGCTTGGGAACTCCCAAAACGCTGCATTGGATGATCCATTGAAGGACAGCACGGCTGGGTTTGAAGTATCCACAGCATTTGCAGCGCTTCAGCAGGGCGTGGGTCAAAGTTGAGTATCCAAATTGGACATAGATGACATAGGATACTTTCAGAATCTTTCAGATCCTCAAAATGAGCAATCCATTCGTAGATCGCAGGCCCCACCAGATTTTGACCTCCATCTCATGTCACGCCCATGGATCGTTTTCTGGTCCGCAAGCGTGCGGCGGACGCCACAGGCCCGTCCACGAAGCCACAATGACAAAGTGTAACACCATTTGGGGCATTTTGGGGCGCTAGATCATTTGAAGGAGATGAAATTTGGGATGGTTCATGGTGGATCCAAAAGAAAGCCCACCTGACATCGACATGCACCGTGCAGGCGGCAGTGCTCTCAATGGCACCAAGGTCTTTGAGGTGCTGCCTCAGATTTTGAGGGATTGGAACCAGCAATAGCTGGCTGTTGTGGAGTTTTTCTATGTTTTTTCTACCATCAAAATGACATTTACAGATTTTTAGGATCTCATGATCTCCTGCACTTTAAGACAGATGCATTTTTTTTTTTTGAACACTGAGAAATCCCCAAACCATCAAAGACCGATGACCTTTTTGATTCCAATGATGGGCAATTATGGTGGGAGATGACAAATCCTTTTTTGGAACTTCGAACTTAGATCCAACAATATCCAACATGTCTTATCCGAAAGCCATGGCAGTTGGATACCTGACTTGCTGGTAAGGAGCCAGCGAAGAAACTTTGCGTGATGCTCGGACCGTGTTGGTTGAGCCGTAGGGCCTGGGAGAGATGGCTGAGGGACTCGAGCCCTTGATACCTGATTTGTGGGTCCCCTTGATACGTCAGAGGCCCGAGTCACAATGGTGCTTACGACATCCCCCAGGAGATGTCGTTTATGGGGGACATGCAAGGATAGAGTATCTGAACAGGGAAAGATGGGATATAGTGAGTATATCAGTGTATCATTGATTCCCAATGTTAGGTTGGTTACATCATAATTAACCCCCCTGGTGATTTATATAACATAACTATAGATAGATGGGCCATCAAAAACCATAGCTATGTTGAATTACCAGAGGGTACAACCATTTTTCAAAAGTTCTTGAACAAATGCAAGAATGGTAATAAATGTTCAACCATTATTTCTATTTTCTTAGAGTACTAGAGGGTACAACCATATTCAATGGATTGGATTAAGGGAAAATTTACAGGAAAGCCCCATATTTAATGGGAAAATCTATGGTTTCCTGTAAATTTTCCCTTAAACCAATCCATTGACATATGGTTGAACCATCATTGAAACACAACCTTAGCCTTATCTCCTCTGAGGTTCAACAACATTAGATGATCCTCAGACTGTGATCTCATGGATACTTGGCTTGGTGGAAATGCATCTTGCTTCAAGTCAGTGGTGAACACCCCCCAAAACCTGGCTGGTTTGAAGCAACACAACTTGGAATTGGAATTTGATGATTTTGATCAACAAACAAAAAGTAACAAACAGCAGCAACACTTCGGAATTTCATCAAGAAGGATGAGTCAAAGATGTGGTTTTCTCACCAACATTGGATGGCTGAGTATACAAAATATAACCAGAACCTGTTGCTGGATCCATGCTGTTAACCCAGATCCATCTTGAGAATGTCGCATCTGCAACTGGGGAGGCTCAAGCGGGTCAAGATGCTTGCAGTACCTTGTGTTCAAACATGGGGCATCCCCCGAAAATGGTCATTTTAAAGGGGAAAACTATGATCACCCAGTCAAACAAGCTCAAACAAGTACGCATGGTACTACGAAGGGATGGCGATGAGTTTCATTTTGTTGAGTCTGAGCATCTGACACCGCACGGAATACTTCAGTTTCACCTCGCATTTGGGGTTGTCCATTTCAATGGGGGATACCCGAGAAATTGCCATTTTCATGGGGAAAAATCCATGGAAACCGTGGGTTTTTTTGGGGATCCTGACACCTTTTTTTGTCTATAACAGATGTTAAAAAATACTCAGAGAAGCCAGTGAATACCACCAGATGGTGAACCTTTCAGGGGCACCGAAAGCTGGAGGATGCTACCCTCTGGTAATTTAACATAGCTATTGAAAAAGGCCATTTATAGTGAGTTTTCCCATTAAAAATGGTGATTTTCAAATAGTTATGTTAGTTTACCAGAGGGTAACCTCTAAGCTGCCAAGCCGAGGAACGTAAATGGCTTGGTGGTCCAACTCCGCAATAACTGGAGACGCCCTGTCAGGGGTCAGCGTGGTCAGCTTGTGAGCGAAAGCAACATTGGACGCAGTTACTTATTGTACAACAATGGACCGAAACATCCAATTTTCCGGAGGCACAGGCAATTGGTTGGGAAATGGGTTTATAACATTTTATAACTCAGAATCAAAACTGCAGATGGTTCTGAAGGGCTGCAACCCACCATTGGTTCAAGGTTTGAGAAGCCACAGTGGCAGTGGGAAGTATCATTTTCGTGTTTGATTACTTGCTGATGCTTGCCAGTTCACTCAACATCATTTGTACTCAGATTGCCTGCCTGTATTGCTTTTCCGGAGGCTGCGTCAAACCATGGTTGCATTAGTACCAATGGACCGCCTGTAAACAGGGCCTATTTCATTCTAATCAAACCACAGGCAAAGCTTCAGAACTTTGAGGGAGGCGGAGTAGTTACGGGAGTTAATTCACCGCATCAAATATCTGATCCATCAATCCTTGGTTTAAAGTCTAAGTACCCATGGTGATCCATGGAACTTGTCGTCTGCTCCAGGAGCTTGATCAAGACATTCTTGGAGAGTGAGCAGCCAGCGGCTTGGACGCAGGGTGTGGCAAAAGTGACCCATTTTTCTTGGTGCGTTTATAGATGTTATGTGACATGCGAAACATAGATCTATGATGATCCATGATCGGGGCTTGTTCAGAAATGAGGTACACTACGGGTGTACCTGAAAATGTCAAACCCATTCATTTGGATATGGGTCAAAATCAAGCACTGTATAACATATTGCTTTGGACAAGCCATTTGTGGGTCCAGAGTCTATGCCCAAATTGTGACCAGTACGGATATGGTTGGTAAGTTATATATATATATATTTATTTATAAGGGAAAATCCTATTAAAATGGATGATTTAGGGGTACCCTCCATTTTAGGAAACCTCCAAATATGATATGATTATGATGTTTATATAATGGGATTTTTCTTGTAAACATGATGATATACATAAAGTTCTGATCGCATATTTGTTGGTAACACGTTCCCATTATCCTCATGTTTGTTGATGCAAAACACCGTCTCTTGACAAGAAAAACCGTATTTCGTTGCTTGTTTCCCCACTACATCCACAGGTCAATGGGTATGGGTCAACATATTTCCAGGTTTGCGGGACCAGATCAAAATTATATAAAGGTTTGCGGGCGGTGGGACCCAGAGATTTACCCTCTGGTAAACATACAAAAAACTGATGGGAAAGATCCACCATTTTTTTTGGGGTAAATCCACTATTTCGACTGGGCCATTTTCAATAGCAAACTATTAGTAATCCACTATAAATGGCCATTTTCTATAGCTATGTTAGTTTACCAGAGATTTAAGTTTATGTTGAGTATTTAACCATCCAGATCTTGGAGGTATGAAACAGGGGATCCTCAGGACGTGCTGTGCCTTCAAGAGGTCCGACTACCAGCTGCAGGACCCAAAGGCGGCAGCAAAGATCTGGGGGGTTCTGACTTGTCATGGGGGATCCCCAGTCACCATGGTTGTTCCCCTCTGGTAAATAAACATAGACCCTGAAAATCACCAATTTTTAATGGAAACTAGTCTTCCAACCCCGATGACTGCCAGGGTCGAACTGTTAATTTACCAGAGGGTAACCTATACTAAGTCATGCTCATCCATGACGGGATGATGAAATGGGGACCATTTGACGACTGGGAAACCGACTGCTGATAAGTTTCACCCTGGGCCTCAACCTTGAATTAGGGCATTGGGGAATATATACCCTCTGGTAATTTAACGTAGCTATAGGAAATCACCACTTTTAATGGGAAAATCCACTATAAATGGCCATTTTCAATAGCTATGTTAAATTACCAGAGGGTAAAGGAGGATGATAACTTATAACTACCCATAAAAAAATGGGGTATTACAATATTGCTAATAATCATTCATCCAACGATTATGAGTGATGAAATTCTGCTAGGAGATTGGTTGTTTCAGAAGAATGATCCTTGATTTTGCGACATCATCCAACCCCCTGCTTCAGAGCCAGATTTTCATCGCTTTTTGGCATCAAAAGCACTATGTTCGTTGGTTCAAGAGCCCTTGCTTCGTGTCTCCGTCCTCGCTCCGCTTCGTCCATCAGCTCGACCATGTCGGTTAGCACTGAAGAGGTTGCCAAGCACAACACCGACAAGGATTGCTGGGTCATTGTGGGAGACCAAGTGCTTGACGTCACCAACTTCCTCAGCCGCTCGGATAGCGATCAGCTACTGTTACAGTTACATTTGTTTTTCACTTCATGTCGTCAGGATAGCTTTGTGTCGCAACAGAGCATTTGTCAGCGCATTCCTCAGGCCGTTTGTGGCATTGCCAGCTTCATTTTAGACGCCGGGGCAAGTTATTTCTTTTTTGCGATGTGTTTTATTTGAGATATTTGAGCTGTATTCGAGTCGCTTCGCGACGAGAACCGCCAGGGAATAGATGGGAATAGCACAGAGAGGAAAGAAGCGGGCCTACTTAGGCCAACCAAAAGCCGAGTGGGGTCAAACATCGCCGTCCTTGGCCTTAAGTTGGGCCAAACAGGAGCCCACCTGGGCCCAACTTGGGCGCAACTTGCGCCGAACTCGGGCCCAAACTTGACCCCAACTGGGGTACAATATGGCGCAACTTGGGCACGTTTGAACTTGGTCATGTGTGGGGGCATCTGGCGCCGAAGTTGGGCCCAAGGCACGCCCAATGTGGGCAACATGGCCTCGCACGAACCCATCAAAGCCAAAAAACGTTGGAAATAGATGGAAATAGCGGTAAAAAAGGAAGTTTTCAGAACTTGGCCCAAGTGGGGGCCCAAGTTGGCGCCAAGTGGCCATGTTGGGCTGAAGTTGGGCCCAAAGCGATCCAGATGGACCCCAAATTGAAGCCATGTGACGCACATGGAAGTTCAAGTCAATTCTAGCATGCCGCAACTTGGTGCCGCAACTTGGCGCCTTTGGCGAGAGCTTCACACCAAGTTGGGCACAATGGAGACACAACATGGGGAACATTGCTTCAAAGGAAGCGTCATCGATAGCCAAAAAACGTGGACACTACCAGTGAAAATGGGCGTGTTGAGGATTTCGGATTGGGCCGGCTATGTCCCCCATATGGACCTGAACTTGGGCCGAAGTTGCCCCCAAATGGGTCCAAGTTGGGGCCAAGTTGCGCCATCTTGGGCCGAAGCTGAAGCCAATTGGTCCAAGTTGGGCCAATGTTGCGGCGAAGCTGTACCAGTCTGACAGTTCTTACACTTCTTGTAGGCTCTGTACGAGGCACCTCTGAGATGTGTGAGTGTTGTTTCGTTACAAGGTGAACACCCTGGCGGGAAGAAGTCCATCATGATGTTTGCTGGCAAGGACGCCACGGAGGAGTTCGACATGCTCCATGACCGCAAGGTCATCAAGAAGTACGGCATTGATGAAGGCACTGTGGAGCTGAAGGGCACCATCAAGAAGTGAAAAGGCAGCAATGCCTTTCCGGTATTTTAAAGCTGGATGAGGCTGGCTTTGACAGTAGTAAACTAGCCCCTGCTTGTGCTTTTGGGCGGGTTCGAGAGACCACAGCGTCATCCACAGACCATGACAGATAAGGAAAAAAAATCCTCCGCCGCCTGCTTCGCAGCCAGAATTTCACCACTTTTTGGCATCAAGGGCCCAGTTTCTGACCTTCACCATCTGCCCTGCCAGGTTGCAAACGTGCCGATGGTCAGAAACGTCGTCGCGGGGAGGTTGGCAGACCAGGGGTGCCTGGTTCGTTTGCACCTCAACTGCTGCACCAACTAATGCTCTTGACTTGCAAACATTGTTGTGTCGAAGGGATTTGATGGCCGCAGCCGCTACTTGGCCAGGCCAAGTGCGACTCCGCACAAGAGAAGGCTCAGCTGCCGAGTGCGTTTTTGAGGTCTCAGAACTTTCAGTGACGCCCCCCAAAAAGACCAGTTTGATCAAGCCCTTGAATGCAGTGTGGGGTGAGGCAGATTGGGACGTCGTGCAGAAGACGTTGATTTCTACCTTTGCCGGTGGATATACCTTTCACTGGTCCTTAGCAGATTGGAAATATTCAGGCTGGGAAGCGGGAAACTGGAGCTCTTTGAAAACATGTTCTTAGCCAATATGTAGCGATTCGGACTTGGGGTATGTTTCTTCCCACCATGCCCACTACACCATGAGACACAGATGTCTGATTGAGTTTCCTTTACAGCTCACCAACCAAGACTTTGCAGACTAATATTTTTTCCGCTCCCAGTGCGAAGATTGTCTCTAAAGTGACAAGTATATGATCAAGACTATTGGTTCAGTCTGAGGCTTGGCAAAAATTCTCCAAGATAAGAATTTACAAACAACATCAAACCACATAGATGGCAACTTTCAATTTTCTTGACCAGGTACCTTGATGATGATCCGACGCGGCCTTGCGTTTTCGCGGATGGAATTCACGCGTCCCAGTCTCTTGCAGCACCAGGGGCACCGTGATGTGGCGGATGACACATGCCATCCGGAGGCATGGCTGGGAGGTTGCCATTTGGATTTCATCAGGTGCTTTTCTGTGCGTAGTGTTTGGCAGGGGGTGTGCAAAATCGTTGGTTTGAGATGTCAATGAACACAGTTTGGCTCAACTCCGAGCCCGCTCTGCGGTGATATCCGTCTCCAATCTTTTGACGTATACTGGTGGCTCCAAGATCCTGTGTCCAATCAAAAAGACAACACCTTTCTGTAGGGGAAACGAGTGGCATCCGTCCGTCTCTGCCAGGGCCGGGTGATTTTCGCTACTTGGCAGCAGTGATATTTGCCAGGGTGATGTGGTATACCCAAAAAACATCAAAAAACAGTAGTTGTAATAGGGATAATGACAATCAAGCATTGGATTTAGAATGATGATGTAGGGACCCCCATTTTCAGACAACCCCACCCCATGTATAGTGCTGTATAGTTTCGTTTGATGGGGTGGAGGTGGTTTTTCGTTTCTAGGGTCCGGCTATCTTAACCACAATACCACGTGCATGTGTGCACTGACATTTGCTGACCCGTCCGATGTTGGCATTCTAGATTCACAGGTTCTAATCCCCATATAAATCTATATAACATCATATCATACAACTGCACCTATTACTTGATTCCTACGTACCTTTTTGATCGCATTCGTTCCATGACAGGTGAGTTTCAAGACTTTCGATCTTCTTGCGTGCCTTGGTTGAGGGGGGGTTTCGGGGTCCTCTCGGGATGGTCAATGGGACCTTTCATAGTGGCGAAAACTTGGAAACAGTTCCAGATCACTTAGCTTTTCCAATCTTTTCAATAGTTCAACCAAATTTTCACGTATTATGTACGTTTTCGACTGTTATTTGACCCAAATTTATTGTTTTCCTGGAAAAGAACGGACCATGCGTATAGATTTCAAAGACCCAGCAAAACAAGACTGTAAATGCCGCACGCCCGGCGATGAAAGCTTTCGTTTTGCGTCAGAGGTGTCACCGTTCCGTGAAAACTATGACCAACAAATGCAGCCACCCTGCGGATACTGCCTGAAGAAGTTCCTCCAAGGGGGGGTGATCCTTACTGAAGGTGCACATGCCAGACCATGTTCCAAAACATTCGGAGATTCCGTCCAGTGGAATTATCCGTGATCCACACATAATATTCAAGGATTTGAAGTTTTAGTATGGGATGATTATATGCTTAACCATCCGAATATGGGGGTTTCCACAAAATGGGGGTACCCCGATAGCTCGATGGTCTCTAATGAAAAATCCTATTAGAATGATTTAGGTGTACCCATATGATTATCGAACACTTCATTGTTATTGTTGTCATGGTTGTCATCGTCTTAGTTTATTCAAACAAATCCTTAATTTATGGAAACCATACTGCGGATGGAAGGAATCCTGCACCGGTTGATGGTTTATCCCATGATTTATAGGGTTTCAACCATCTAAGGTGGTTTTTCGGATTTCTTCCATCCACAGTATGATTAGTCCATAGCACTTCACCAGCTGTTCAGCTGAGGACCTACTCCCCCAACAACGGCAACGATGCGGCTGCCTTTGAACGTCGACGCGCTTGGGATGCGGCCATGAAGCAGGAGGGATGGGCCCCTGGGGGGGTGGTTGATGTAAGCATGGGATTTTCATACAGTATCTAGAATTTGTCGATAATTTTAAATCGAATTAAAGTTGATTGATAGATATGGGAGTTATATGTAGCTATATAATAAAATGTCATTATATGATATGATATATGTATATCAATGCATGTTTATCATTATCGTCTATAATCATGACTATACAACGTGGAAGATTCAACGACAATGGATTGGTTGACGAAGGATTTCCGCTCATCAGTTGCCATCGCACGGCGCAAATTGTTGGGTGAAACTGAAATGCCGTAGGCCCCGAATATCCCCAATTATGCAGGTTTTTTTGTGGAACAGATGAATTTCTCTTCCATGGGTTTATAGCCAAAAAATGCTTAGAAAGATCAATTTCTAGGTGGATTATTCATGAATTATTGATTAAACACAAGGATTTTTCACCCAAAGATGACTTTTTCACCCATTTCTAGACCCATCTGATTGGTGCCATGACAGGAGGTGGCCACGCGTACACGACCACTGATCTGGATCGGTGACCTGAATGTGGCCGCTGATCGAGTGGATGCTCGGAGATGCATAAGATGGAACCGTGTTGGTGTACGGATCGCCTAAGGAGCGCAAAAGCTCATCCTTGGGTGCTCTCAATTATGATAAATCATTTTTTTCCCACCAACAGCAAAACTTTGCTATGCAGATTAGCTCTGGTGCGATCCGGTGCAGCTTCAACACCAGGTTCCGGAGGGTTCCGAAGGGTTCCGGTGCAGATACCTGTTGAGGTTCCGGGGGGTTCCGGTGCAGATACCTGGTGAGGTTCTGGAGGGTTCAGGTTCTGGAGGGTTCCGGTGCAGATACCTGCTGAGGTTCCAGAGGGTTTCGGTGCAGATACCCTGTTGAGGTTCCGGAGGGTTCCAGTGCAGATACCCTGTTCAAGTTCCAGAGGGTTCCGGTGCAGATGCCTGGTGAGGTTCTGGAGGGTTCCGGTGCAGGTACCCGGTAAGGTTCCAGAAAGTTCGGGTGCAGATGCTTTCGGAAATTCCAAAGGGTTCTTATGTTTTTAATGGCATACACTTTTTGGGGGTGCAGAAGCACTTAAACGCAGTATATGATGTACTCATATACTTGTAGATTTACTTTGCAGGGGGGGGGTAGGGCGTGGCAAAAAAGAAGTCGATGCATAAATGGTTGGACCAAGCGCTCTGCAAACCGAAACAAAATTTTGAAGGAACGAAACGGCAACGTAAAGACAACACTCTTAACACACAGGGGCTTGCAGACGATTGACAAGTAGACGGCCGACGAAAGTTGAAGAGTCATTTCGAACCATTACAACATCGCGGGTTAAAAACAGCAGAGACATCGGTGACCGCGACTCAGTAAAAGATGTAGGGGTAATACGGCTGGCGTCGAATCAAAGTACGATTGTGCACAATGCACGAAAACTTTTTCATGACTAAATGGTGGTTTTGCTTGGTGTCCCGTTTCTCTGTATTTCGCACACTGACATCCAGATACTGATTGTGATGATTGATGATGATTGTAAATGCAGACAATACGTGTGAGATTTGGATGCGTTACAGCACTTTAGAAAGTCAGTTTCATCATGAAGTACACGTATGAGATCCCTTTGTTACACAGTTTGAGGTGTTTGAGATGTTTGTTCTGTGTCTTTGAGATGTTTGAGAAGTTTGTTTTGTGTCTTTGACATGTTTAAGAAGTTTGGTCAGTGTCATTGAGATGTTTGAGAAGTTTGTTTTGTGTTTTTGAGATGTCTTTTTGCGATGTTTGCGCAGAGCGGAAATTGGTGTCCAAAACCAATCACTGCAAAAACTAGACCGGCAAAATGCGTTGGCAAACGAAAAAAACTGACAACGCTGAATTCGACGCATACCCTGTTTGATTATGCGCAGCGCGCGCCCAAACAACTGTATGACAAACAACATGGCAAGGCAAAGGGAACAATCTCAGGACAGGCCAATGCGAGAACCATTCAACACAACATGACCGACGAAACCTGCAGTCATATTGAAACGTCACGACATAGTGGGCGGAAAGAAGAGCAAGGACAAAGGCGGGAAAGACTGATCCGCAAAACGTGTCGGCAAACAGCAACAAGTGACAGCGCTGAATTTGACGCATAGCCAAAAACGGTTCAAGCAGGCACAGCGCAAACCAAAGCAAAAGTATGAAGGACACCATGGTACGGAAAAGGGAACAATCCTAAGACGAACCAGTCTGAACACCATTAAGGCCAAAAAACGACCGCAAAGCCTGAAGTGATATATCGAATCGGGTCATGACGGCGTGGGTTTAAAGAAACGCGACGACAAAGGTGGCATGGACTCAGTGAAGTGGCAATGAATGCAAAACCTGACTCGCGATCTGGTACTGCATGGGTGGCAGGTGCAAAGACCAACGATCCAACCATCACTCTGGTAAACTGCACGGGTGACACACGCAGAGACCAGGAATCTGACAATCAATCCGTTTGACTGCACCGGTGGCAGGTGCACACCAACATTTTTAAAATTAACTTGGTAAACTGCACCGAGGGCGGGCGCAAAGACCAACAGTTTGAAAATCAATTCGGTCAATTGCAAGGGTGGCAGGCGCAGAGGCCAGAGATCCGACAATCAATCCGCTGAACTGCACCGATGCAGGCGCAAAGACCAGGAGGGATAGGTACAGCTTTTCATAGCACTGTTTCATATACCCGTGTGCAACATCATTGCATGATTGTATGTGTATGCTTGTATGTGCATGCTTGTATGTGTATGATTGTATGTGTATGCTTGTGTGATAATGTGCGCCTGATGTCAAGATGACGATCAAAAGACCATATACAGTTAGTAACAGCGTGTCATCCAACATGGTTGCGTTTGTATCAATTCATGTTGTTTGCTTGCCGAAAATCCATAAGTAATTCTAGTACGTGCCGGAATGAACACATCAACACCTAAGTAGACACCGTGAGCAGCTGCACATTGTATGTGTATAATGCTTTCCAGGGCCCTGATTCATTTACCATCATGCAGCACCATTGCATGGTTGTATGTGTATGATTGTATCTGTATGATTGTGTGACAATGCGCCTATGATGTTATCATGACGATCACAAGACAATATACAGTTAGTAACAACGTGTAACCCACAATGATTGCATATGTGCGAGTTCATGTTGTTAGCTTGCCGCAGATTCATAAACAATGTTGTCAACAGCAGGACCGAATTATGAACACAAAAGTGTGCAACGTGAACACTTGCGCATTTTGTGTTTGTACTACTTTTCATGGGAACGCGTCACATACCTGTGTGCAACATCATTGCATGGTTGTATGTGTATGCTTGTATCTGTATGATTGTACGTGTATGATTGTATGACAATGTGGGCATGATGCCATGATGACGAACACAAGATCATATACATGTAGTAACAACGTGTCATCCAACATGATTGCATTTGTATCAGTTCATGTTTGTTGAGATACCTGGTAAAGTTCCGGGGGGTTCCAATGCAGATACCTTGTTAAGTTCCGGAGGGTCCGCTGCAGATACCTGTTGAGGTTCCTGGCCCTGCTTCCTTTACCATTGTGCAGCACCATTGCATGCTTGTATGTGTATGATTGTATACAAAACAAAAACTTTTAAGCTGTTGGGGATTCACCTGCGTTTATTAGCCAAATTTGAGACATAATACGTTTTGGATTCGATGCGAATGGGATGATGATGTTTCTTAACAACTATTCTTGGGATGCGCTGGATGTTTTCACACCAACAGTTATTGGGTACTCCGTGCAAAGACGACCTCAGTAGACAGTCGTGTTGAACATCGTTGTTTCCGCTATCTCTCAAACAGTTCACTGAAAAATGTGCAATACCGCCTGGTAACTCCCTTATTGAAATATCAATTCAACAATTTCATAGATGATTTTGCCATAAGATCCTGCCACCGTAAAACCAACTCAGGACGTAACACATCCAGAATGGTTTCTCCAGCAATGCTACCAGGTGCGGTTCCGTGGAAGTTCACCCACCTGGGAATCAATCATGGCTATGGATAACCATCATTTTTCAGGTCATTTTCCATACTGGCAGCTATGTTAAGATTACCACAAGGTAGTTGATGGCGAGATCCCTGTTGCAACTGTGCAATACGTTGTTGAACTTCGTGGCAGCAGCCGCAACACATCATGCACTGCCATTCCCCTGGCGCAGGGTGAGCCCGAAGACATGCGGGGTCAGCCAGGTTTCACCAAAGGCGCCGCAGTGAGTGTGTGAACTGTGTTTTTTTTGCTCGCAATGATCTGAATACATCGTAAGACCGTGTTCTCTTCAACTTGTTCTTTGAGATCAGCAAGACTCATCAACACTTAAGTCCGTGTCTTGTAAGTAAGAATGAACAACGGCGGCTGGACCAGTCATAAAACCAGGTCCCCTTCCACGTTGACACTGCTTCCATCCGCCAGGTGAGCGTGTCCGGTTTCAAGAGATCTTGTCCGAGGGGAAGCTGGTTGACTCCTTCAGGCCCCACTCTGCAGTGGGTGGCCCCTGGCTGAATGTCCCCAAAATGGCTGCTCAACCAATCTCAACTAGATAGAATGTTGCTAGTTGGTGCTATGTACATCTCAAAAAACCATGACCACCCTGCGACGATCCCAAGCGACGTAGATTCGGGATAGCTTTGAATGGTTGACCCGTCCAAGCTGGATCGCAGCAGTTCCGAAGGCACCTGCACCCAGTGGAGGATGTGCCACCTGCGTCCAGATCCCAATGGGATTTGCAATATCAAAAAAATCATTTCCTTCTGGTTGGTATGGGAATCATGCCCAAAATGGGCCCATGAAGACGAATTTGCCTTGTTATGAAGCATCAAGAAATTGCCTTCGTCGGACTTCTAATTTCTCCTTGTTGATGCCCTGTGACCCACACTCATCCACTATCTATACAATTCTACACACACTTGTGGAGCACGGATACACATTCACACTCTACGTTGGTTTGCAACGTAGCCCGCACCTGTGCTCTTTTTTTGTCTAAATCATGATGCATCCGTGTACTGTATCTATATATACACTATTCAAAGAACACTGCAACCATCATGCAACAGGGCATAAACAAATAAAGGATATGTATCATATCATCCGGCCGTAGCCAAGGCTTGGTCCCTTCTTCACCTGGCGAGGGCATCCTCCAGTGCACCAGGCTGGGATGGCTTTGGTACATCCTGAAAGTAGGCTTTGGTGCAACCATAATGCCACCAAACAATATGAGATAACTTCCCCAAAGAGGCATTCACCTAGCACTTAGAGATGCGGTATTGGTTGAAAAGAACATTTCAGCGATGGCTTTATCCACATTCCACCAATTGTTATAATGTGGGCAGGCAATGCCATGAAGAAGTCATTTTGGGGATGGTTTGAACCTCAGCCATAAAAATGATCATAAATGGTGATTTTGGATTTTGGGGTTTGTTTACCCTCTGGTAATTTAACATAGCTTTTTGAAAATGGCCATTTATAGTTGATTTCCCTATTGGAAATGGTGATTTTCCATAGTTATGTTAGTTTACCACAGGGTATGGCGGGTGAATCCCACATCTCTGTTGAGCATCTCTGCGAAAAACATCGCCAAAAGCCTGTCGGATGAGGCCGTGGCGAGGTACCATGGCAAAGGCGCCGCTTTTCGGATCGGGCTTTGCGAACCAAGAGGGGGTCCAAACACTGGTGCGAGATGGATTGTTGGCCATTTGGGGTTGGAGATGGATTCGATTTCAGACCCAACCAGGTAGTTTTCAGGACCGATTTTGGGTGCCTTTTTTCAGAGGTTTCAACTGTCAACTGATGGTAATTTTTTGTGGAAAACATGTTCCAATGTCTGGTTGAGCTTGGTGGAACTTGGTTGTGATATGAAGGTAATTCTCACCAAGGGAATAGGGTTCCTACCCAAAGTACTTGGTGAACTTGTGGTTTTATGGCAACGGTTCAAGAATTGATAGAACTATAGAACCCTTAGTATCCGGATGGTTTTTATAGACACACAATCAATTCTGTTCTTCCATGTCTAGAAGCTCTTTTTACCAAATGTTTTGCCGCGCCGGCATACCATGTTTGCAGGACTGAGAGCTGTCCACTAGCTGTCACTAGCTAAAGCCAGAACTGGCTTTAGGTATCTGCCAGCCAGTTCTCAAAATGGTTGCATCCATTCACTGGAAATCATATTGGCCAACACCGTGCTTCAACCAAAACATCCAAAAGCTAAGTTTATTTTTCTTGGGGGTCCCATGAATGGGAGGTATTAAAAAATGAGATTACATTGGCAATATATTCCCATTTCAGGATTGTTAAATCGTGTTAAACTCCATTTCTGATGTTTAAACACCCCATTGATGCCAGGCATGAGGATTGACTATGCCCTCGTGGCGCAGGACGTCAGACATCTTACCTTCAGGTAATTTCACAATTAGCTATTGAAAATGGCCCAAATAAATCGTTGATTTACCTATCTGAAGATTGTGATTTTCATAGCTATGTTAGTTTACCAGAGTGCAACACCCTGGTTTCTTATTTTTTTGTGTCAAATACTGATGCCATATACATATATCCTTCATGAGCGATTTCTTTACGATCATCTGATTATATATTATTGTTACCTAGATTGCTGTTAAATTCCCTAGGCTGTTTAATTGGGAGGGTACCAAGTATCAGTATCAGATTATGACTATTGGAGGAGTACCCCCTAATTAATAAACCAGGGTTTATTAATCCGGGGTTGACATTACAAATCAACCAATTTCATCTTCACATCATGGCTGCTGGATCTCCATTCAATCTCCCCCGCAGGAGCTTTTGCCGCGGCTGAGTGCCTGCGACATTTTGGGCTCCGGCGCAGATCGCAATGGATTTTTGGGCCTGGAACCCAGTGGTGCGGTCCATTACTGGACAAGGCCTCAATTTTTGTTGCTTCCAATCAATTTTTGGAGCATTTTTTATTGGTTGTGTTGCCAGTTTTGCTGGTTAGATTAATGTTAAATCCCAATGTGTTGCTGGTTGGAAACACATTTCATGTTGATGTTTTGTATGTTTTTTTTTCCTTTTTCCAGCGTTTAGATACATTTTTGCCCAGATTTCCCAGGTTTTTTGTTGGTTGTATCATCCCAATGAATCAAGGAGATATAGATACAAACACACACACACATATATATATACGTATATATATATACGTATATATATATATACTATATATATATACACAATATATATATATACTATAAACATATATATATATACACGTATTATTTATATACAGGCAGTATATATTGCATATACATATTAGATCAACCCCATTTTTTCTATGCCTGAGATGATCCAATTTCTAGGCAGTGACCATTGTCCTCTTCGGCTGAGCATGGCGAAGCTCGAGGCTGAGAAGGAGGTGCTTTTGCCTGATGGGGTGGCCGTGGAACCTGGGGCATCTTAGCACATTATCAAAAAACATATATCTACACGTATACAGTAATTATACATATTATCAAAAGACTATGCTGTATATGGAAACGATGAACATGTGAATGTATATGTATATATATATATGTATATGTATGTATATATATATATGGGTATATATATATATATATCTGTGCCAATTAAAAACCCGGATTGAAAACAATTGGTTCGTGGAAGGTGTTTGGCTTGCGCATTGTAGGGCTTGCGAGTCCGGCTCCAGGTGAAGGCACCGAAACCGCTGGTCTTTGATCTCGATTGAACAAAAAGGGCGTTGGGAGGGAAGTGGAGGATTTTTGAAAGGCGAATTTCTGTAGCATCCGGATCATCCAATTTGCAAAATTCATCTATGCTCAGTGTTTTATATGGATTTATATGGTATGTTGTTTGAAACATGATGCCCCAAGTGTTTGACTTGGTGAGAGCCTAGTATGACACAGGTACATTGGACCATTTGCATCGACGATGGACATCACTTGGCCCATTGGTTTAGATCTGGGACTCCACATTCCCTGCCATAGGCCTTTCAGATCTGGAACATTTGCAGGTAAATCCCTAGATTTGAGGGAACATCCAAATTTTTCAGACACACAAGATACATCAGAGACATAAGAATCATGAGAATAATAATGAGAATAAATCAAGATACATCATACATCTGCATCTCATGATACTCACAAGATATGGGAAAATCCACTATAAATGGCCATCTTCAATAGCTAATTGTTAAATTACCAGAGACATAAGATACAAAAGAATCATGAGATGCAGAAACCATTGCTTTCTTCGGATGTTTTTTTCGCAGATAAATTTTCCATCAACCAACCGGAACTCCTACGGAGCCAAGGCCCTGAAGCCCTGGCGTTGTCCAGCTTCGCAGACATCAGGAACGGTCGCTGATGGCGGTGATGTTTTAATTTAAACATCTAAAGGGCTAAAATCGGCTAAAATCATCAGATCCATTTTTTTAAACCATCTGGGCTAAATATTCAAACTCAGATCTTAAATTCGGCTAAAACCATCTTGAAATTGAAATTGATCTGAGTCAGGTAGAGTTTCTCTTCAACAGAGTTTGATCGTCAGCGATCAGGTTAACGGCGAGTCAACAGCTGCTGCGTTCCCGCTCCAGTGTGGGGCTTCCCACGGTGGGTTGGAAAGAGAACTGGCGGATGACTTCAGCAAAGATAAGGATGAAGACTTGATCTGGTTGGTGGTTTCAAACATTTCTTATTTTCCATAGCATATGGAATAATCCTTCCCATTGACTAATATTTTTCAGAGGGATTGAAACCACCAACCAGTGATGTGTTTATAATGCATAAACTGTGGTTGTTTCAAATTGATGATATTGAATGATATTAATGGTTGCTTGTTTTCCAGACCGATTTCGGGAGGACCTTGACTTGACTGATGTTGTTGCAATGGGTTGACAAAGCCGCTTCAATATCCATTGCTTGTCTGGGTACACTGTCCGCAACATTTTGCTCTAACATGGATTTAAGAAATTGTGTCGCAGGAAATCCTGTGCATTACCTGCCAAGCCGAACATATCATCATGCTTTGTTGATCTTTGTTGTCATATCCTAGTCACCATTGGTGTTAGAAACCCACCGTGAAACTTTGTTTACTTGTGGGTTGTGCTCTCATCGGAGAGGAGTTAGGGGCGCTGTCCGTGACAGGTCAACAAATATGGGACCGTCTTTGGACCTCCCAGAGCATCCCCACGTTCTGCAGGATTACTTTAGCCTGTTCTCGTCGCCGTTGCAGGGTACCAGGGTACCATTCCCCCATGAGACGTGCAGTGGCCTCCGTGTTGCTGATTGCATCGGCTGCTGGGCTAAAAAAAGGAGAGTCTGGAGCTGAGGACGTTTTGTTCATCGGTATCTCGGCATTAGAATTTTGCCAACTGTCACCAGCTGTTTCAGGTGCATACCCTCTGGTAAACTAACATAACTATGGAAAATCACCATTTTTAATGGGAAAACTCACTATTAGTGGCCATTTTCAATAGCTAATTGTTAAATTACCAGAGGGTAGATTTCAACCTCCCAAGCCTGGTGACACCATGGTTAACAATCGCCATAGATTGAGTGACCAGAAATCGCGATTTTCATTTCAAGAAATCGCCCGAAATGCCCTGATTGGCTCGGGGTCAATTGGGCTTCGAGATCTTACTGTAGGTATAACAGTTGTCTCGGACTTGGTCTTGGCCATGTGTTTGTCAGGCAACAGCTATACCTTCTATTGGAACTTGCCTCAAAGTGTGAGTGCCATGGCCGAAAGCCAGAACATCAGCATGCGCGCACGGCAGTCAACCGCCAGCAGCGCTAACCTTGCTGAGCACTGGAAAGCTGAGAGGCAGTTGCAGACCATGGAACGCCTCAGGCACTGCGCCACATTTTTGGCAATCTCTTGGAATTTAACACTAAAAAATATAGAAAAGCACTGTCCTGCGAAAAGGTCGCGCCGTCTTGGGGCAACTGGTGTTTTTTGCGCCTTTTTGTATCAGCGAGCGTTGCAAGCTTTGGCAAAATATATATGTTAATTTCACATGTCTACAATATATATATATATACATAGATAAATGTACATACATATGTGTATATATGATATATATACACGTGATTAATATATATATATATAATTATATATATAATCATATAATTGTGTATATATATAATTATATATAATTATTATACATAATTGTAAATTGTATAAAAAATTACATATATAATTATATATATGTACGTAAGTGAGAAAAATATACATATGTAAAAGAAGATATGTACATTTATATGTATAATTATATAATTGTGAAAATCAATGTATATGTATACATATGTATATATATATGTATCTAAATGTGAATGTAATTGTATATATATACATTATAACCCAGCCAACCCCGAAGTTCGCGAAGCATACAAGATCTGAGCAAGTTGACAGGGACGTTAACATCCCCCCCCACCCAAACCGCCCAACACCTTAAAAAAAGCAAACAAAGTGGTTTTGTTACCAGTTGCCTAGGGACGGCGCTGGGTGCTAAAATAGTGGTGACTTTCCTATCCTTTTTGGGGTGCTATATCTTCCCACCAACTTTCCCGGTCCCACATCACCAGTATCGTCTTCATCGTCTGCGCCAATGGTCCAATAGTCCAATGGTACATGCCGAAAATTCACTTGTACCTAGGAGAGAGATTTCTATCGCTTCAACTTGACATGACAATTGAGGCCCCGAAATTTGGCACACAAGTATTATTGAACACTTCCACCACCACAACAGTTCCAAAAGCTGCCACATCCCATTTTTGAACCTGGCTTGGTAGATCAATGGGTTGATCGATACCCAGAAAAGATCAAGAAAAATCATTGACCAACCTGAATTACATCATCCATTTTCGGCAGGATATCCAAGGTCAACCATGTTTGCCTGCTGGATTGGCTCGGTTGGTCCCATCTTTTCGGAGGTCCCAGAACTTCAGCCGCGTGGTTCTTCAAGATCACAGTCTGGGGGCCTTAGAAGCACCCAAGAGGATGATGCACTATGGCCGCTTGGATGGATTAACCCCCAAAACGATGCAGAAAAAGGTATAAGACAAAAAAACAGATCAATTTTATCACTATTTTTAGGATAGGATTGTACCATTTTCATCCATTTTCATCGAACTTCCATTTTTTTTTTGGGGATTGCTATACGTACATGAATTGTATTGTTTTCCCCTGACTTGTCGCAGCACGGGGAAAAAACAGGTCAGCTCTTTGCGTCAGAGATCCAGAAGCGGGGTGCCAAAGTCTACCTCTTCATGTGCCGGAGCATGAAGGGCATAGGCGTTTCCAAACTTTTTGGTGCCCTCAGATCATTGGGATAAGGGCATATAAGTATATAAGGGCATTTTTTTCCCGATCATCTTCAACCAATCCGATTTATCCAAAGGCTTCCACCAACTGAGGACGTGGGCCAGAGCCTTCAATCCAAGCATGCAACAGACTGTTACTGCGCAGTATCGAGCCCTGGCCGACCAGACAGGTGCGCGACTGGTTCCCGTTGGGTTGGCCTGGCAACTGGCTCGGGAAAGGAAACCTGGATTTCCTCTCTATGAGGCAGACCAAAGCCATCCGTCACCGCTTGGCACCTATTTGACTGCCTGCGTTTTTTATGGAGTCTTCTTTGGCTCTGTTCTAGTGGGCAGCCTGCCTCATCGCTTGACCAGCACTGACATCTACGGCGAAAAAATCTATTTGAATCTGCAATCGGAGGATGATGCCCTCTTTTGCCAACAAGTGGCACAAGAGGCTATCCAGTTGTATGGTTGATTTATTTTCAGCCGGCCTAACGAGCCTAACGTCCTTTGTGGATTTCCATTGTCCATCCTAATTCCCACGATCCCCAATCGCTCGGACGACTCGAGCGGATCGGCCATAAGAGCTGTTGCGCTGTTTATCTTTTGCTGCCGCTGAACTAGCAATACGGCGTTGAAAAAGCAAGATGTGATCTCTGCATACTTGCGTCATCATCAATGTGTTGGAACACGGAAGATGAGTCTAGCTTATGTTCTCATGGCCTCTGTATCACACATACGTTTGCATGAGAGTTTGCATGAGGGTTTGCATGAGGTTTCCTTGTGTGTGGACGTACCAAGAGGACTCAAAGAGGTTGCAAGAGCTTGGCAGAAGTTGCTTCCACTGATCTTCTTTGGACCAGGTCACCTTACAAGGACTACAACCCATTTTGCCACACCCTCAGGGTGGGGCCTTAGGCGTCCTTTGGCTCAGCCCTGTAGCAACCTCTGCCAAGGCCGGGACATTCAATTGTTGTACCACTGGACAAGGTCACCCGCCAGGAGCCCAAAAGGGGACGTGTAGCTTGCCAAGTTTGGATTGTTCCCTGGCTGGCTTTGGCTAATCCATGCTAATCCCATCCGGTTCATATTAGACACCCCATAAATGGTCTCGAAGATGTGTATTTCTCGGGGGTTTCTAATATTTGGGGGCACCCTACCTTGGAGGACCACTTCGCATCTCCCCTGGGCTTAGGCCTTTGCGAGCTGCCGGAAGACGAGATGCTTTGGGTCTTAGGATCCGCCTATGGCAATGGGTCATCTCTTTTGAATGGAGGTTGAAATGGGAACATCATCTATACAATGTGGGCCCCCCCAGTTATAAGTTGGTTTATAAATCCCATTAACTATGGTTATAAGTATCATAAACCATAGTTATTGGAGTTATAAACCAACTTAGCTATCTAGGGGGCCCCACATTGTAGGCATTTTCCATTGCCATGTTTGATCATGTTTGATTACCAGTGGGTAGATGATGGTATGGCTCAAGACCTGTTGGGAGTACCCATAAGCACCAGCTGGTGTGAAAAAAACGAGAGGCCACTGCATGTGGGCAGGACGCACCAATTCAAGAGAATAATCAGAGTTCTTGGAACAGTTCTGATTCTTCGTGAGCAAAAGATGATTGAGGTTGATAGCTTTGGACAAGTCGAACAGCCGTGAGACCATGATCATGGGGCCTTTTCCTCACGTTTATTTTGAGAACCATGATTCAATCCCTTGGTCTTGAACATGTTACAAACTTCTATTTCAACTTCATCTGCTTTTGCTACGCCTCTGGAAATTTGGCTTTATATCCAGCTCAGCTTTTCGAGTTGCTGATGTTTCCACGCCCATTGTGAGGCTTGATCTCTGGCGAGCAACTTGCCAAACGGAGCAGGAACTGAGAAAGCAACTTGCCCGCAGTCAAGTCTTCTGAGAACATTGAGCCCGCTGCTCTGATCTGCCCCAACGACCTAGGCAGCTGGGCAGTACGGCTGGGAACCTTGGAAACCACGGTTGTTTCAAGATCAACATGGTCCAGTGGATGGGATGATTTGAAATGGTTTCCTCATTTTTTGACCACCCCATTGATGTGGGTTTACTGGAACTTATACAAGCGCTAAGAACTGGGAAAACGACTAGGATGTTAGCCCCCAGTCACCACAGCATCAGTTTTATACGGGTTACTTCTGAGGCGAGCAACTGGGCAGTCTTTGATGGCTGGTTTGCAGGGCAACCTGTGTCCGAAGCCCAGAATGAGTGGAATTGGTTTACCTGGGAGGATCTTTGAGAGGGGAAGGTTGAAGCTGGAGGGGATTTGGTATGGTGACCAAAGTTAAGAGTGGAATCAGGGATTCATGAACTTCAGAGTGTTTTTATGGTTGGAGTTATGTCATGTTCTCTGATCAGATCATTCTACAGAGTGATCCCTTCCCTTTGACAACAAACATGCACAGAGAGACCATAGTTCAATGGTGAAACTATTTATTTTGGATTATTTTTGGTGTCTCATGTGGTGGTTCTGATAACGGATGTGGAGTCAACATCGATTTATAATTTAGACATATCATATATTTAAATATAGTTCTTCAATGTTCTTCGCTTAACTCCATTTTGGTCATATACCTTGAATGGATTGTAGCCATACACTTCCCTTTTTGACCTTTCTGGAATTGGACGGGTTTACCATTTGCAGGGGACCAACAAGCCAGCAAGTGAGAGTCTTCAATCGAAACGGTGCGACTATATATCATTGATTTACAAACAATTTGTGTAGTTGATATAGCCACCACTATGGATTATACTCATTATACCCGGTTATACAATGTTATACATCCATTTTGGTGGAACTTTCTCCATCCCCAGCCATGCTGGGATCAGCGGGGGTTTACCTTTAAGGCCCCACGCCCATGTGCACGTGGTACCTCGAAAGGCAAAGGATTTGGAGAAGAACGACCAGGTGGCGATGTCCAATTTGAGAACCGGCGCGACATTTCTTCCCAATACCCTCTGGTAAACTAACATAGCTATTGAAAATGGTGATTTATAGTGGATTTTCCCATTAAAAATGGTGATTTTCCATAGTTACGTTAGTTTACCAGAGGGTAGCGGAATTTGACATTTTGGTTTTGTGGTGCATGATGTGCATGGCAGCCGTGGCAGGTCTATGTTGCCCTGGAGCAGTGGACCCCTTCTCCCAGAGGCGCGCGCTTAAGTGTACCCTTTTTTGTTGTTGGGAGATGTTGGGAGGTCACCAGTTTTCCTGTTTTTTTTTTGCATTTTTTTGCTGGTTATATGGCTATGGATCAATACCTATTAATAGCATTTTTAGGGTGATGAACATCCATTTACCAGCTATTTTGATGTTCACCAGGGGTACCAGGTTTTGACACACTGCCATATCATGTTAAATCAAAGATGGCGGGTCAGATTTCTTGGTTCTCAAAACTTTCAGATCGCCAGACACCCCGGATCCATGATGCCATGGGGCGTGCCGCCAGGGATCTCGGAAACACCTCCGGCCATTGCTCGGAAGCTCAGTGTCCGTTGGTCATCCATGACTTGCATGATATGAGGGTTTTTGCCATGACTTTTCGGAAACCTCCAAATATTGAAACAGTCTTTGTCATATTTTGTCATCAGCCATTTTTTGAAATGAGTCTACAATATTCTACAATCACGATTGCTTTAGATATGTTTTGATATGGGTTGAACGCCACCTGCCCAGCTGCGACACGACAAAACTTTCCCGAGGAGTGGCCTGAAGACGAAGTCAGGAAGAAGCGCACCAGCGACCCGGTTGTTTTTTTTTCCGGTGATTGGGGCAACATGTGCTGCTTGGTGGCTTGAAACCAAGGGAATGTTGAACACCAACAGGCTTGGGTTAGAAACCAACCAAATCAAGGTTGCAACGGACCCATGAATGACAGATATCGAATCATCCGATTGGGCAGTTCAATGATCTTAAACAATGGCTGGACGCTTGGAGATGTTTCAACATCAAGAACATGACGATACCACTGATAGAAGCAGCGACTCGTCCTTCAGATATGCATCACCTTTCCATTCCCTGGAATCATTGGGCCCACCAAAGACACATCTTTTGAGATGGGTTGAAACCCCAAAGAATAGGAGGGAAAAGATGACCACTTGAACCCCTTGCAGTGTTTTTTTTTCCACAGCTATAATTATTATCTGTTCAAATGATAGTCCTTTCAGAACTTTTCTGAACTTTATGACTTTATGTACCCAATTTTGTTCATCGGGCCCCCTCTCACCAACGAGGCTAGATGATATCGTACATTCTGAGTCTTGTTGTGATGAATATGTTGTACCCACGTGGTTGGCTCAAGGCACATAGTGAAGGAACAATGGCTTCCCATTGCGGTCACAGCCAGCCTACTCTCGGCAAGAGGATGTGCGGGGTACAAAATCAAGCGCAGATCGCGACGACCGTGGGTGGAATCGTGTGTAATAGGGGAGGCTGCACTGCACGTCGCAATAGCACCTGATTTTTGTCCCACATGAGCTGTGGTCAATACTCATGGTTAATAACCATTAATAGGGGCTAGTCATCCAATGGTTCATAGGGATTTATAATAACCATTATAAGGATCCTTATTATGGATGGGATGACCATCAGCCATATAGTGAGTATTGACCATGGCTCACATGTTGAAACCATCCCTTAGGTGATGAGATGGCAGCAGAAGCGCAGGGCTATCGCATGGCCATGCCAGGAGCATTGTTGGTGGAGCAATGGGGACTGGATAGGTGCAACGGAGCCGATGGACGCAGACCCTTGAGGGTATGAGTAGTGAGAAGCTGACCTCTGGTAACAAAAATCACGGTATTTACAATGTTTTTCGGCCCGGGCCTAGCAAAAACACCATCATATTTTTCAGGGTTCACACCAACTGGGGAAATTACTCCAATCAATGATTTCTCAAAAAGCTAGTAACTTCCCAGAGAATAGCTTTCCCAATTTTGTTTCACCTGACCCCCGTTCTATGAAAATGACACAGCTTCAGAGGACTTGGCAGCTTTCCAGAGGAACAGGCGATCTCCTCAGATGGCAAGTTGCCCAGTGCCTATTACAATCATTTTTTTTAAACTAATAGTATATATATATACACGCATATGATATGTATATATATATATATAACATGTTATATGATTACTATGGTATACTAAAGTTAATTGCTATGGTATCATTTTCACTAACAGTATATGGTTTTCCAATACTAATAGTTTCCAGCGTACCCTGGGGTTCTCAAGTGCTATATGTGGAAAAATATGGGGATGGTGAGCGAGTGGATGATTTTTCCAGCTAGTGGATGCCTCCATTTGGTTTAGGGATTTCCAAGCCACGTTTGAGTATATGGTGGTAACATGTTGTAACCCATCACATACATATATATATATACATATATATATGGTTAAATTAGATCACGACCTCACTGTTCTCCCGAACCCTGGAATCATGGTTAGATTGCGGGAAATCATCCCAAAATGGCCCAACAATTCAGGTTAGTGAAATATTACAATTTACCCATATATATATATATACATATATATTTCCTATGATCAAATGTCAATCCCCCCCAGCGAGCTGTTGAGCAACTCGACAACAACCATCCTCTGAGCCAGGCCTTTGCTTCGCATCGCATACCAGGGCTGCTCAGCGCATAATTGGGTCGGCGACGCCATCTACCCTCTGGTAAACTAACATAGCTATTGAAAATGGCCATTTATAGTGGATTTACCCATTGAAAATGGTGATTTTCAATAGCTATGTTAAATTACCAGAGGGTATATCTGCCACTGGTCGCCTCAAAAGAACGGTTCTTTGGGTTGCTGTACTCATGTGACTATCAAGGGATGGCCCGATCTTACCATTAGTTGTTCTACTTCAGGGATGTGCCATCCACATTGGCTGATCTTGCCATCCCTTCAGTTCTACATTTCGGTATCCGAAAGTTTCTGTTGTTTCGTTCAGATCTCGCCGGTACTTCAGATGTTGCTGGAATTCCATGGTGATATAGCTGATGTCCCAGCAGACCCCCCAACTGTTTCCTCTATCATATATGATTTTAATGATGCACTGGCTTGTTGGGGTCATGTGCAGCCATTAGCTTTGAGCTTTGGGTACTGTAAAAACTCCGCTTCCAGCCCCATCTTGTTGCTTTTATTCACCAATTTTGATGTGCAACATTCATCTCATTTCATCTCAAAGCAGCACTTTGCAACACTTTGCCATGAAATAGTCAGGATACCCTCTGGTAAACTAACATAGCTATTGAAAATGGTCATTTATAGTGGATTTACCCATTAAACATGGTGATTTTCCATAGTTATGTAAACGTTTACCAGAGGATATCTGTTGTTTCCTGATTTCCATTCCATCCCAAGGCACCACTTTTTCAACAAAAAGGCGATTTTTGGGGTGTCGAGGTCGCACCTGTTCTACGCATCAAAAAGCGGTCTAAGCGTGGCCTTGGTGAACCTGAAACCCCTGGTGCCTGGACACGTCTTGGTGCCTTGGATTCGTCTGTATTCGATGGATTTGTAGCTGGAACACTTTTCGTGAAAATTCGAATTCATGGGGAGACTTTATGTATGTCATCATGTTTACAAGAAAAATCCCATTATATAAACATCATATATCATATTTGGAGGTTTCCTAATATTTTGGGTAGCCCCGAAATCATCCACTTTGAAAGGATTTTCCATGGGATTTTCCATGAAATAAACCATCCAGCGAGCTTGGGGTAGCTTCATTTATGGACCCCCCCATATTGGGATTAATGCCACATTGGATAGAATTCTGGATCTAACTGGATCTTTGGAGTGATGCAGGTCACACATATTTACATTCATGGATATATAGTTCCAAACCACTAAGTTAATAAAAAATCTGAGATAGAACTATATAGTTGATGTAAATTTGGATATAGTTGATGTAAATTTGGATATAGTTGATGAATATTTACCTCAATCAAGTCCCTTAAATTCGGCGCACTGAGTGCATCCGGCTTGGCAATATCAAGGTGGTGCCACGACGCAGCGTGCCTCGGATGGAGGATCTCTCCGAAGAGGCTGGCTGCAAAAATTGGCATAAATTGCAGGTGTACATGAACATAGACATGGGTCATTAAATGTCCCCATTGAACATCACCCAACCATTAGGTATATGGCTACTATTTATGGCTACTATTTTGGGTGATGTCCAATCTTCCCAAAATGGGACATGTCAAAATAGCTATTGAAAATGGCCATAGAAATAGTGGATTTACCCATGAATAATGGTGATTTTCCATAGTTATGTAAACGTTTACCAGAGGGTAGATGACAGATAAAGAATGATAAAGATATATACCCTCTGGTTATTTAACGTAGCCATGGAAAGATCCACCCATTTTGAATAGGTAAACCCAGGTAAACCATCTATAAATGGGTCATTTTCCATGGCTATGTTAAATAACCAGAGGGTGATAGCATATGATAGCAGATATTTCAGTTTGGATAACTTTGGACCATTTCTAGCATGATCTTCCATGAGATATTGGGGGGGTGAGCAACACACCGTATCCAACATACCAAGACACCGGGAAAAACGGGATCGATGAATCTCCCAACAGTTGATCTGTTTGGTTTTGGGATGTCAACGGCAGGGGCAGGATAAAAGAACTTTCGCCCATGTTGGGGCAGGCAGTGCACTGAGGCCACTCTTGATATCTTTAGATGCTCCTTGCTGGGATGTGGAGTATCCACAGGATTTTAATGTGCACAAAGAGGCTTCACGCGGAAATGATGGGCTTGGTTCTTTCAGGTTTCTTCTCAGTTAGCTTCTCAGGTTGAATGGCCTGTGTGTCATTTCAGGAAGTAGGTGAGAGGAAAAGAAAGACGAAGAGGATTCGCAGACAGAAGAGGGGCCCCTGACTTCAAATTTTGTGTTTCATTGGCTACCCTCTGGTAAACATTTACATAACTATGGAAAATCACCATTTTTAATGGGAAAATCCATAACCAGAGGGTAGCCAGCATCGCCTATCGCCAGGAGTTTGACGACTTGTTCCGTTCAGTTCGGCTCGTACAAGCTGCTCTCGAGCAAGTTCATGGTGCGGAGGCGGCCATGGACCCTGAGTCTGAAGACAGCCTCCCCACCATTTCAGGTGTCCAATTTGAAGGGGTTGGTACCCTGTGGTAATTTAACATAGCTATGGGAAATGGCCGATTCATAGAGGATTTACCTATTAAAAACAGGTCGGGTTTCGATAGCAGATTCTATCCTCACTAGCCTCACTAGTTGAGTGGTCAAGTCCCAACAGAAGTGGGGCGGTTTTCCCTGCTTAGGTTTTCGCACCTGGCACTGGAAAGATCTGGAAAGTCTAAGGTGCACTTGCCCTATGATCTATTTCAAGTAATCCTTGTCCAAGGTAAACATAGGTATTTTCACATATGGGTATGGGTCAATACCTATAGATACCATTTTTAGTGGGATGAACATCCATAAATCCCAGCTATTTTGGGGTTCACAAAAGGTACCAGGGTTTTGACCCATTCCCATATTTTCCAATTACCAAGTGGCCAAATTTTCACATTTTGTCGGAAACTCCAAGCTTCACATCTCCAGCTTCCGCAGCGCAGGCATCCCGGCTTGGCATCCAGGATGGGGTGGATGCAGGACAAAGTGTTCCTCACGTCCACGTTCTTTGGCGAAAAACACTGCATGATCTACACATGAAGATGAACAAAAGAAATCTGTTTGGGTGGTTTAGAGTTTAGTGGATTTTTGTCCTTTTTGTTAAGAGCACATAGATTTTGGTCTGTTTCCCCGTTAATTACTCTTTTCTTTCCTTGTTAAGTTATGCTGCTCGTTTGTTGGTTTCACCAGCCACTTTGGCGACTGTGGGTCGTCTTCCGCCTCACTTTGCGATGAGGTGCACATTCTGCCGATCCCTTCGCGAAAAGGAGCGCTTTGATCGCTTAAAACAAAAAAATGGGCTTTGCAGTGCGCAGGGGAGTTGGCTGAAAGCCTCTTTTTCTCCAGTCGTTTTACCCTCTGGTTATTTAACATAGCCATGGTATAGCTGGCCCATTTATAGATGGTTTACCTATTAAATCCTATTAAAAATGGTGATTTTCCATGGCTATGTTAGTCATAACCAGTCGTTTTATTTTTTGTGTAATGTAGCGGCGATGTAGACGTCGCAGGCTTGAACTGTTCGGTCCCCAAGATCTGATTCAGAAACCGAAACCAGGGTTAAGTTCTGGGGCTGTTAACATGAGTGTTTACTAAAGTTTTATGGTGTTTAATGGGATTTAATGGGATTTAATGGGATTTTATGGTGATTGAAAGTGATTTACTATGAACTGGGGAAGGGATTGTTGTTGCATATCCAATGAGTATCCAATGAGTATCCAAGATTGGACATGTTGACCATTGCTGCCATCGCCGCAAATTTCAGCTGCTGGCTTGGGAGAGTGTCCCTTACCTTCCACCAGCACCTGTGGTGACCTCGGCTGGGAGTAGCTGGTGCTGTTGCCTCATGATGACATATGTATGTATACAAGTGTATACATGTGTAAACAAATACACACTTATTTCATAGAATTGGATGATGGGATAGGAAAATTTACAGGAAAGCCCTATATTTGATGGTAAAAATTATGGTTTCCTGTAGATTTTCCCTTAAACCAATCCATTGATTATTATTATCACGTGGAATCTCAAATCAGAGCATCATGAGCTTTTGGTGTCCGTTTGTAACTTTTTCTTGGTACTGTTTTCAGAGCTTCCCGTGGCATCAGTGGCATAGCTTCCAGCCATGGTGGTCCTCTTCAGCTGATATAAATTGCCTGAGGATCTGGTATCGATCAACATCTCAGAATGCAAAGATGAGAGGCGCGAGTTTCGGGGAGATGGGAGAGATGCCATTTGGCAAATGGGTCAATACCTATATAGATACATTTTTAATGGGATGAACATCCATAAATCCCAGCTATTTTGGGGTGAACAAAAGGTACCAGGGTTTTGACTCATAGCCATTTGGCAAATGGATTGCAAATGGAAGGTGGATGAAGGTCGACTCCAGTGTACTTACCCGACCCCCTTTGCTACAGATGATCTCAGTGGCCACCAACGAGGTGCCTCCAGATTTTCCATGGGGTTCAACCTAGCGAAGGCGGCCCAGGATGGTGGTTTTCATTGGTGGCTCAAGGTTGCAGATAGCAAGCCTCGCACGAGGCAGTTCTGATCAGACAGCATGTAGAATGCATACAATATACGATGTCTATCGATGTATTATTTTTCTGTCTTTTCTGTGTACAACTCCGCTCTGAAGGTGGCACATGGTCAATTAGTTGTTGCGCACCATGTACAGAGATCATCTTTTTTTGGGTTAAAATATCCCTCTTACATCCTCTTATATCCTCTTGCACCATCAGAGAGGAATGAAGCCATTGGGATCCATTGGGTAAAACTCTAGGCACAGATAGTCTGTTCGGGTTTGAGATGGCTTCAATAGTTTCATGGCCATGCAGGTCATCTGAAGATCCACTTCAAAGTGCCTGATGAATACAACAGCGTATCAGGTGATTGGAAGGGATGTATCCAAGATTATCCAAGATCCCCGTTTTAGCTCGATCATTCACAGTTTTCGAGCTGAAATTTCCCAGAACATTGGGAATTCCCCACTGATACTTGTCGACGTGATGCAGTTGCAGGTCGTACTTGTCGTTGTTCCGAACTCAGCGATGCGTTTGGCGAAGATTATGAAGATACCACCAAGAGTGGTCGCCCAAATGATTCGATCATATTCGATCCAATAAAAAAGAGAGATTAGAGAGGGTTTCTAGGGTATTGAGAAGCAATATTTGATACTATTATTTGATATATTTGATACAATGTGGGGCCCCCTAGTTATAAGTTGGTTTATAACCCCATCTAACCATGGTTACAACTACCATAAACCCTAGTTATTGTAGTTATAAACCAACTGAACGCTATCTTGGGGGCCCCACATTGTATCAGGAAGAAATGATTTCTGGAGGAATTGGGAGACTGCTCTGAGGCTCTGACAGGATGCCAGAGCATTCAACCCAGGCAGTGCAAGACCAATGGGCCGGGTGAAGACTTGAAGCCTATTTGTCAGCATAGCTTTGGCATGGTGATTTCCACCGCGCTGCTTGGGATATTTATCTATCTGTCTATCTATCTATCTATCTACCTACCTATCTATCTATCTATCGAACTACCTACCTACCTACCAAACTAATTAGTTAACGATCTAACTAATTGGCTAACTGATGACTAATTCGCTAACTAACTATCATACAACCAAGTAAGTAACCAAGTAACTAACCAACTCACCAATCAACTCACTAACATAATTATGTAAGCGATTATATTATTAAACTATGTTATTATCATTACTACTATTATTACTATTATTAATATTATCATTATTATTACTCTGATTATGACTATTACTATTATGATTATGATGACGATGATTATGATTATTATTGTAGTAATTACAAAAGTTATTATTATATATTGTTATCATTATCATCACTATCATCATCATTATTTATTATTGTTATCATTAATATTAATATTATCATTATTATGATTATGATTATGATGATGCTGACTACTATTGCTACTATCATTCGCAATACAAAACTATATATATATATGTATAAATGGATGTGGGTCAAAATGGAAGACCTAGCGGACCACAAATGTTAGTCTAGTTTAGTATTCACCATCCAATTATTGGGGTACCTAATTTTGATATGTATAAATATGTGCATTAATACATACACATGATAAGCGTTGGCATGTTCCACAGTTCCACCAGTTCCCATCTACCCTCTGGTAATTTAACATAACTATGGAAAATCATCATTTCTCATGGGAAAATTCACTATTAAATGGTGATTTTCAATAGCTAATTGTTAAATTACCAGAGGGTACATCCAAGTTACACGTTTCTGAAGGCCTATGGAGGTGCTCTCCAGCCCGAGCCTGGATTGCCTCGAGGCGGATTTTCCGTGGAACAAATGTGGTGATTTCCCCATGGTTTTCATGTCATTTTAGATCATTTTAGCATGTTTTTAAGATATTTCAACATGATTTTGTTGTGCGTTTTTAATCCGAATGAGGATTCTGATGTTGATGTTGATGATTTGCAGGTGATTTGCTGCAACAAGTGAGCGGATAAACAGTGGCCAGAAGTGAATAGCTTGGTTCACAATCCACCTACTAAGCTAAATCATGCTTGCGACTAGCTTTCAATGGCCTGCTTCGCGGTGGAATTCAAGTCAAAGAGTCGAAACATATTTTCCGGATGTAACCAACATCCATGAAAATTTCAGGAAGAGTTCAGAACACTCAGTATAACCCAACCTGTATCGAGTCACAACGTGCTCGTTCTACTGTTCCTTACGATTCCCACTCTGCGTTGTGCCAGGCGCGTGAGCGTGATCCTACCGCAGAATGTGACGATTTATTGCCAGAGAATGGGAGGACGGGGATGCCGAACTTGACGCCTTTCTTGTGGGTTAATGATCTGGGTTTGGCTGAAAATGATGGGAAAACCACCAAATTTCAATGGATTATCATGATTTTCCCCATGAAAACAGCGATGTTTGGGGGCCCCGATCTTCAGACAAAGCCATCTCGGGTTTTGTGTCGTGTGTTGCGACATGTTGCAGCCTTTTGGGTTATTTCGATCTATTTTGGAAGTGGGGATGCCTTATGTGACCTTTGGAGATATTTGGAGATCACCCGAGCACCTTTGGCATGCTGTCCCGGTGGGACTGGACCACTCTGCGACCAACAATCACCTGGTACTGGACCCAAACAGCTTCCCACATTTGAGTCCCTTGTGGCAGGAACGTGCGAGTAGTTTTCAACATGACCCAGGTGGGCAATAACTGTCCTATCCTGGATGCGAATGGGTATAGGTACACTCGCCTTGGAAGTTTGAATCTGTACTTTGAAAGGGAGAAAGAACCAACATCTGTGGGTCTCCGGGCCTTTAACTGTAACATGCAGATTTCTACGTGTGCGAACTTGCTGGTCATGTGCCTTGTATTCCAAGTATTTCTGACTCTTGCTGGTCATGTCCCCTTGTGTTCTAAGTTGTTCATGAGAGATACATCCTACACAATGAAGGCCACTACTACTTATTTTACAAGTGGATAAATGCGGACACACGCTGCCAACTAACTCCTGGGCAACCTCCCAGTTATGGGCAAATTCATTCAAATTCTGAGCCATTTCTCTGCATTTTGGTCATTTTAGACTCTACCCTCTGGTAATTTAACGTAGCTATTGAAAGTGGCCATTAATAGTGGATTTTCCCATTAAAAATGGTGATTTTCCATAGCTATGTTAGTTTACCAGAGGGTAGCAGTTCGAATGCCCATTTTGGTTGCTTCTACTTCCATTGCAAGGTGGACGCTGAAAAAACCACTCAAGAGCAGTCGCGAGCCACAAGGGCGGTGTGTTCATGGGTGGCTATAGGCTCAAAGGTTTCAATCATTAAAGGTGTGGGCGGTCCTGCATTTTTCCGCCAGAATTAGCGGATTGCTGGGATAGTTCATCAAATTTCGGTAAGCTACGCATCAAGACGCCCGCAAGCTGTAGGGGTGATGGTGATACAAATGAGCATGCGTTGTGTGTATATGTGTATATATGTATATACTGTATACCTACCTACCTACCTGCCTGCCTGCCTACATGCATGCATACATACCTACGTACATAATACATACACATGTAATTTCACCTACAAGTGATCATCGTCCTTCTGGTAATGACCAGAGAAGATTTGATGTCGAATCCCCAGCTACACTCTGAGGAAAGTCGTCGTGAAGTTCACCATGAACCAAAGCCACACTGCCAGGGCGCTCAGGGTATCCCTCCACTTGGCTCCACGCTCTGCTCATGCCCTGGGTCGAGGCGGAAGGC